CAGGTGGCTGTTAAACAATTCACCCATTTCCCTCCCCGTCCCTTCCCTCCACCGCTGCTTCCCCACTCCCCCACCTCAGGTGTATTGAAACAAGTTCGAATACATGATTGACCGCGCTCTGGCTCCTCTCACCCCAATCCTCTCCTGTTTTGAGGCAACTTAAAGTCATCCCTCCTCCGCCTCCCCTCTCCCCCCACCCCGCGCCTCTTTCCCCCATTCTTGCAGGTGTACTGCGACAAGTTCGGGTACATGATTCACTGCGACGACCGTGCCTTAATCCCCCCTCCACCTCCCCTCTCCGCCCACCCCACACCTCCCCAGGTGTATTGCGACAAGTTCGGGTACATGATTCACTGCGACGACCGTGCTCTAACGCGCATGCAGGCAGCGAGGGCAGCGGGGCTGCACCGAGTGGTGCTGGAGCAGCGCTACGCCTACACCACGCTCGTCGCCTCTGCCGACCTGCTGCCCGCTGCGCTCGCCCACGCGCAGTCGCTCAGGCTGACGGGCACGGCGCATGACCTGGTGCTCATGGTGGATGGGAACGCGCATGACGTGAATGTCAACGACCGGTTGTTGTTACTGCACTTCGACCACGTTCGGCGGGTGCCCACTGTTGCCAACCCGTGAGTAGCACCATTCGGTGGGTCGAATATGGGTGTGTTTCCACAGGGATGAATGGCTAAGGGGTTCGGACTGGGCAGTCCCTCAGGCTCACAGGCACGGCGTATGACGTGAATGTGAACGACAGGCTGCTGCTGCTGCATTTTGATCATGTGCGCCGCGTGCACACCGTTGCCAACCCGTGAGTAGTGCTATCCATGAGTTAAACAAAGCCTCGAGGTGGGTTTGAGTGTGTTTGGAAGGGGGTGAAAGGCTGCGCCACGCTCCTGGTCTCTGCTGACCTACTGCCTGCTGCATGCTGCTCTGGGTCAAGGGGATGGAGGGAAGTCGTTGGGGCTGATGATCATGGTGCATGACGAACGACTTCCCAGGTGGTCAGGTGTGGTGGTCGGGCGTGGTGATTAGGTGTGGTGGTCGGGCGTGGTGATTAGGTGTGGTGGTCGGGCGTGGTGATTAGGTGTGGTGGTCGGGCGTGGTGATTAGGTGTGGTGGTCGGGCGTGGTGATTAGGTGTGGTGGTCTGGTCAGGCGCATGTCACCACCACGCTCGTGGCCGCTGCTGACATGCTGCCTGCTGCACATGCAAAGAAGAGGGGCGCACTTTCCCCACCCTTCCCTGCCCAGCTTCCCACATGCGCCCCTCTTCTTTGCTTACCAGATACGGAGTGAAAGGCTTCTCCAAGCTGAACGCGTGGCAGATGACGGAGTATGACAAGGTGGTGTATATCGACGTGGCGTGGACACACTCGTGCTCGCCAACCTGGACCTTCATGTCCACCCACCTTTCCCCCTCTCTCCCTGTCCACCAGGTACGGAGTAAAAGGGTTCTCTAAACTCAACGCGTGGCAGATGACGGAGTATGACAAGGTGGTCTATATCGATGTGGACACACTTGTGCTCGCCAACCTGGACCACCTCTTTGAACGCCCCGAGCCCACCGCCGTGCCGGATGTGTACATGAGCAGCAAGTTCAACAGCGGGCTTCTCGTGCTCAAGCCCTCTCATGTGAGTCTCTCGTGGCGTGCAGAGCTGGGTGCAGAGCTGGGTGCAGAGCTAGAAAGGCAAGGCGTGCAGAGGTGGGTAGGTAGGAAGATGCATGCTGGGCAGGATGCACTGCCTCGTATTTCTTAAGCAAGGGCAAGGATTCCTCAACTCCTACCTCCAACGCTCGTTTGGGTTTCAACGCTCCCATCCCACCCCCCTCACCACTCCCCGTTCCTCCCGATCCCCCCTCCCCCCCTCCCCACCAGTCCACATATGCTGACATGATGGCCAAGATGCACCGCCTGCCTTCCTACAACAAGGGCGACCAGGGCTTTCTCAACGCCTACTTCTCCGGCTGGTTCCACTCGCCGCCCGCCCACCGCCTCGCCGCCCGGTACAACGCCGTCATCTTCTTCCCCGACCACTACCACCCGCCGCCCTGGTTCCGCGTCGAGGCCGCCCACGAGGCGCTCAACGGACCAATCATGATGATCCACTTCGCCAACCCGTGGTTTAAACCCTGGCGCCTGGGCACGCAGGAGGGCGGGGTGGTGGGGATACACGGGGAAGGGGGAGGGGGAGGCGGGGGAGGCGGGGGAGGGGGAGGGGGAGGGGGGACGGGGGGAGGGGGAGCAGCAGGGAAGGGGAGTCTGTCGTCTGCGCTGTCGTCGAGTCTGGCTTCGTCTCTCACGTCGGGTCAGAGCGGGGTGAGCAGAGAAGCAGTAGAAGCAGCAGCAGCAGCGACTCTGCAGGCAGTCGCAGCAGGAGGGAGCGGGGTCGGGAACGGCAGTGCCGGAGCAGCAGGCGCTGCTAATGGGGTGATCGAAGGGGGAGCAGGAGGGGCAGGAGGAGCAGGAGGGGTGGTGGTAACAGGAGACGGAGGCCCACAGGTGAAGGTGAATCTCTGGTGCTCGCTCTGGCTGTATCTCGCTCACGCACTGGAAGAAAACGACTGGTATCCACTCGACCCCACGTCCATCTCCCTCACTCACTTCCTCCCCAACCGTGCCCAGTACGACTCCCTCATCCCCGCCCACGCCAAGGCCCGCGCCGCATCCGCCGCCGCAGCCGAAGCAGCCGCAGCCGCAGGCGCAGCAGCAGCGCAAACTGCATCCTCCGGGTTTCCATCCGCTCCTGCCCTGCTCTCCTCCGCGGTTTCCCACAAGCCGGTGATTCCCGGCCGGCCGACTTACATCGGGCGGGAGGGCTTCGTGACTGTGATCACGAAAGAGAATTACTTTGCTGCTGGGGTCTGGGCCACGTCCTACCTGCAGCACCACTCGTTCTCCTCCTTCCGGAAGATTCTGCTTCTCGTGCTGTCCACGGTCCCTAGAGACCACTGGCAGCCGTACCGAAAGCTCTTCAACTATGTCCGTGTGGTCGACCCGATAGTGGTGAACGGGCGGCAACTAGACGATTCATTCGCCGTGCTGCACGCGTGGAACCAGAAGGGGTTTGACAAGCTTGTGTACGTCGATCCGGTGGCGCTTTTCGTTGATAATTGTAACGAGCTGGTTACCAGTTACGACGCGTTTGCCGCCCCGCCGAGCGTCTTCCCTCCGGACATGTTCACCTCCCGAGTGATGGTCCTGCAGCCCAACTCGACAACATTCGAAGACATGGTGGCGAAACTCCCGGTCTTGCCGTACCCCGAAGGGTCGGTGGACCGGTTTTTTAACGCGTATTACTACGGGTGGTTTTCGTGGGCACCCGCGCACCGGATTCCCCCGTCGTTTGCGGTGGACATGTGGTTTAAGGAGGGCTTGATGAAGTTCTTCGTGCCGTGGCGGGTGGTTATGTTTGATTCGAGAGCTGTGCCGTGGAGCGATATCAGTGACTGGATGGCGCACGATCGCACCAAGGCTGTGAAGCTGTGGAGGCGCACCTTCTGCAGCTTGGAAGATACATTGAGACCACCTAGTCTGGCGCACCTGTGTGCGGATCTGATCTAGCAGGGTTGATTGTAGGTGAGGTGACGTATATGGTTGTGTTGTGTATACAAGGAGGGGTTGATGACAGGTACCCCGTGCCGTGGCGGCGAGTGGTGATGTTTGGCCCGAGGCCGAGGGCCGTGCCGTGGAGCGATATCAGTGACTGGATGGCGCATGACAGCACCAAGGCTGTGAAGCTGTGGCGGCGCACCTTCTGCAGCTTGGAAGATACGTTGATTGAGACCACCCAGTTTGGCGCAACTGTGTGCGGATCTTATCTAGTGAGGTGTATTGTACTGTATGTGATGTACGGGTGTGGTGGAGGCGCTTGTTCGAGAGCCCGTTGACTGGCTCATTCATACTGACATGTATGCATGAGACTGTTAGGGCGTATTCCTATCCTCGTATCAACTGAACCTCATATCAAGATTGAACTTTTTGCCTGGTAAAACTAGCGAGAGGTTTTGGGTTTAGGGGAATTTTCAGTGGGAGGTTGATATGAGGTTCTCTTGATACGAGGATAGGAATACGCTCTTACTGTAAGAAAATGCAGAAAGAACACGTTTGTTGAAACAAAATTGGCACTCCACTGCCAGTACGCCTTCTGGAAATGCTACTCATGTGTACATTCAATTCAATGCCCAGGATTGCCCCCCCTAAACAGCTCATCACTGGTTCACTAACACTGTTACACTTACACCAGACTCCTTATTCCACCCAACACAAAACATAAAATGCGGGAAGAGTCGATTAGGGAGGTTGAGGGAGCTAGAAGCGAAGGAGTGGCGGGTCGGGCTGCAGCTGCCCCGTGGGGGTTTGAGCCACAGCTGTCATATGCACTCCCACGCTTTCCTCCCCCTCCCCTCCTCTCCCCTCTCCCTTCCTTCCTACCCAACCTGTTGAATGAAATGATGGTTGAGATGACGATGAGAGAAAATAAGGGCAGGGTGGTTGAGGGAGCAAGAAGCATGGGAGTGACGGGTCGGGCTGTAGCTGCCCCTGGGGGGGTTTAAGCCACAGCCGTCATATGCACTCTCCGCTCCTCGCCCCTTCCACCTCCACCCCTTCTCCTGCTTTGCAGCAGCAACACAGACCTCCCTCTACTGCTCACTGCCAAGGTCCCTCTGGCACGCCCTGTGTGAAAAGAAACCCTGTCTGTCCCTCTGCTGCAGTCACATGCTGGCATCAGCCCCTGCTGCAGCAGACGCCGTTGCTGCTGCCGCCGCCGCCGCTGCTGCTGCTGCTGCTGCTGCTGCTGCTGCTGCTGCTGCTGCCGCTGCCGCTGCTGCTGCTGCTGCTGCTGCTGCTGCTGCTGCTGCTGCTGCTGCTGCTGCTGCTGCTGCTGCCGCTGCTGCTGCTGCTGCTGCTGCTGTTGCCCCAACCTCAAAGTGAGAATTGGAGTGACTGCCCGCAAGTTGATGCCTTTACCGCGTTTCAGTGTCTAAAGGCGTGTCGTGTGGTGCTACAGTGCCTGTGTGAGCGACCAATGGGATGACGACGTTGCGAGGGGGCGGCGCTGGGGAATTCTTTTTGAACCCAAACATCTGGAGATAGTGGAAGAGGAAGGTGAGAGAAGGAAAGAGGGAGAGGAAAGTGAGAGAAGGAAAGAGGGAGAGGAAGGTGAGAGAGGAAGGAGGGAGAGGAAGGTGAGAGAGGAAAGAGGGAGAGGAAGGTGAGAGAGGAAAGAGGGAGAGGAAGGTGAGCGAGGAAGTGAGAGAGGAAGGTGAGAGAGGAAGGTGAGAGAGGAAGGTGAGAGAGGAAGGTGAGGGAGGAGGGAGAGAAAGGCGGGACAGGAAAGAGGGAGAGAAAGGCGGGGCAGGAAAGAGGGAGAGAAAGGCGGGGCAGGAAAGAGGGAGAGGAAGGCGGGGCAGGAAAGAGGGAGAAGAATGCGGGAGGGGAAGGCGGGAGCGGAAGGCGGGAGGGGAAGGTGGGGAAAAAGAGGGAGAGGAAGGTGGAGGAGAAAAGGGGAAAGGGTGTGGGTGGAAGGTTGGGAGGTGGGGAAAGAGAGATGAGAAGGGTTGTAATTTAACAAAAATTCAGAGAAGCGATAAGCTGTTGCTAGGATGTCAGCTCCTCTGTGATGCACCCCATCGTACACCTTTCAAACTGAGCGTAAACCCGAACTGAGAAGGATGTCAGTTCCTCTGTGATGCTTCCAAACTGAGCAAACACCTTTCCTGACGCCTAACTGACTGCTTACCCTCCCCGGTACCTTTTTCCCATTGCGCAACTTCTTCAGCGCGCGCTCACTTCCCCAGCGCGCACCTTCCCCAGCACTCACCTTCCCCGCTGCTCACCTTCCCCAGCGTGTTTTTAAATCACTCCTTGTGTTCGTCCATCGACGCGCTCATGAACTCGGTCACGTGCTCGCGAATCTTTTGAGACGTCTCAAAAGCCAGCGCGCACCTTCTCCAGCACGCACCTTCCCCAGCACGCACCTTCCCCAGCGTGTTTTTAAATCACTCCTTGTGTTCGTCCATGGACGCACTCATGAACTCGTTCAGCGTACCTTCCCCTCTCCTCAACTTGACTGATGCTTACCTTTCCCGGTCCTAACCTTCCCCACTGCTTACCTTCCCCAGCGTGTTTTTGAATCACTCCTTGTGTTCGTCCATGGACGCACTCACAAACTCGTTCACGTGCTCGCGAATCTTCCCCACCGTCGTGTTCGGCTTCTCCGGCCGCGCGCACCCCCCGCCGCCGCCGCCGCCGCTTCCGGCAGCGCTGTTGCTTTCGGGTTGCGCCGCCGCAGAAGCGGCGGAGTCCGCCATCTGCGGAACTACAAAACGGATGAAAATACTTTATTCTAAACTTAATGTCGCGTGGCTTTTTATTAGCGTTCTGGAACTCGATGGCGTGTCGATGCAGATGATTTCCACGGCAGGCTAGATCTTCGATGAAGTGGTTCGACTAGTGCAAGTGCGGATGTTGCGTGATGAACACTCTAAAGGAGGCAGGAACAGAGTTGGGAATCGGGATTGCCGAATCTCTAGAATGGCAAGGGTTCAAGTTCAACTTTCTTTCGCGAAGGAACAAAGTAACCCGGTGATCCATCGCGCGACCCACCAAGGAGTGATTCAAGCGCACTGTTTAGATCGGCGAGCCTGTAGGTTAGAATTTGGGAAATTATACGCGCAGTCACAATTTTGCCCGTTTTATCACGTTTGGTCACAGGGGTACTAAAAACAGTCACAGTACAGTAGATTTGTATCGCGGGTGATCACAGTGCTATCACTGGTGGTCACACCTCGTTGAAACGGTCGATAGAAAGTTGAAACTACTCAAGTCACTGTAGGGATTCAAGGAAAGTTCTCTCCCGCGCGCCGTTTTGTCCGTAGTATTACGAAATAGTTTCGCGACAACTCTCGGTAACTACTTAAAAACATCTCCAATTTCTTTGTTACTATTCGATTGTCCACTGTTCGATTGATGCATAATGTCCCTAAGAATATCACTTTTAGACGGGTGAGACTCGAAGGGTAATTTCTGCTTCCAGGACTAAAAGAAACTAAAACCCGTTCGAATGGGATTTAATTCGGGATGCATCAACCCTAAACACCTTGTCGCATGGTGTTTAGGGTTGATGCCTCCCGAAGGACGTGCCATCCTATAGGGTTTTTTTTTTTTCTTCAGTCCCCTAAATGTCAGGCTAGAATCATGTGCGATGTACAAGCAATGAAGATTGGGATTCCCCAAAATCGACAGTTTCTTTTGTGGTTTCAAATTAATTATGATCGTTTCATCGAGTGACCAAACGTGATAGCTTTTAGGGGCGATGTGTGACCATCCGTGATAGCAGTGTGATCACCCGCGATAGAAATCTACTCTACTGTGACTGTTTGCGATACCCCTATGACCAAACGTGATAAAACGGGCACAATTGTGACTGCACGTATAATTTCCCTTTGAAAAATCACAATTTTTGAAAAGGGGGGAAGCCTGCACTTTCGCACCTTGGGTCTGTGGTTGGTGGGGTGAAAGTGAGGTGAAGTGGGCTTGGGTACGGTGGGGTCAGGTTGGGTGGGATAGGGTGGTTGGGGTGGTGGGTGGGGTGGGATAGGTGGGGTGGGTGGGTGCGTGCTTGCTTGTACAGTACGGTGTGTGGAGGTGGATGCTCGCTTGCTTGGCTACTATTGTACAGGTCGCAACCAAGGTCGCTCGCTGCCGTGCCACGTCGTAGGCAAGGCATCTTACAATAAATTCAGGTCGCAGCCGGGGAAGTTTGTTGTGAACTTTGTCACGACGATGGCAGAATGCAGTGACCGGGTAGGTTGCAACTTACCAGTGGTTGAAGCCGGTTCAATGATCAATCGCAGCCGCAGCCCAGCACAACTCACCTCGATACGACCCCCCATCGCCTCACCAGGAGGCCTGAATCCCCAACGACCGTGCTTCCTCGTCAGGCCTATCAGCTGTGCGCAGCCGCATCATACCAGAATTCAGAATGTACGAGTTTTTTGGATTAGGGTCGACCCTACATCACGTAGTAGTGCCGCATGGCGACTCGACGACGCATGGCCGATCGCTTCAGTCACGCTCGTTTCAATCGCATTCGCTTCTGCCGTACAACCTTGATACTCTTCCTTTGCGTGTTCGCGTTCGCTTTACGCACGACGTGGCTCTCCCTTGACAATATCGAGTCCGGATCCGACGCTTCTATCGAAGCCGTTAGAAAAAACGATGAATTCGATTTGTCAGCCGCGGATTGGTCGTTCGAGGAATGGATGGGATGCTTCTTCTGGGGCGACAATCCCGAGGAAATGGCGGACGCTCTGGCGTCATCCCAGCCGTTCATCGCCACCTCTTTAAGCACCAAATCCTCATATGATCCCCGACAGGGTCGAACGAACCCCGAATCTGAACCGGAGGTCGAACCTCAAGTTACTCCGCTAGTTCGAGCCTCGGATGAACGAACTCGGACGGATGGACACAAGAGATTGCTAAGGCTCGTCTCGAGGGAGCTGGATTTTGTTGCTGACGTCACTGACGTGCAGCGGCGGCGAAGGGCATTTCGTAGGAGAGTGAAGAACGACGAAGCTTCGCCGCAGGTCCCTGGTTCTGTTCCTGGAAATGGTGGTTTTACCACGACAAGTAGCAATGCCGCCAGCATGCCGCAGTGTCCCCAGGCGTATCCCCGCTACAAGCAGGCTTACTACCGAGAGAGCAGCGTTGCTGGCGTTGCTGCTGCTGAGAAAGAAACAAACGGAAAAGAAGGACATGGAGTGGAGAGGACGAATGGCGCTGGGTTGGCTATTGACGACTATGAGCGGGAGCTGAGGATGCTGCAATCGCAGGTAAGCCATGTGCCAGACGCTCTAAGAATTGCCTCAGTATTGTTTTTAAAGAAGGATGAGACAGTGTTGGCAATCGACGACTATGAGAGGGAGCTGAGGATGCTGTGCAAGCAATCGCAGGTAAGCCATGTGCCACGTTATTTCCAGGCGTCTCAAGAAACGTTGCATCTGTCGCTCGCAGGTTAGCTGTCGGTGAAGCGTGATGGCTTTTGAGTCTGACTCAAAAGTCATCAGGTAAGCCATCATGTGCCACATTCTTTTCACGTGGCGCCTCAAGAAACGTTGCATCTGTTGCCCGCAGGTTAGCTGCAGGTGAGTTTTGAGAATTCTCCCAACTCACCCGCCTCAAGAAGCGTTGGATGAATCGCTCGCAGGTTAGGTGTCTGTGAAGTGTGTCTCTGCTTGCTAACTGCATTGGAGGGTTGCAATGCAAGTATGTTTGCACTTTAAAATTGAAAAGGCTAGAGTTGACCTGTAGACATGCACTAGACATCACCCCATGTCCCATCATCTTGTTCTATTTGCTTCTCCATAATACCTCCGTTTCCCACAAATCTCCTGTGCCACACCTCGCTGAAACTTAACCCTGAATCTTCAAATTTCAACTTAGAATCCCTAGATGCGTGCATGGGCCGGTCACGTAAGGGTGATGCACTGCTCTTTGCAGAGTAGAGAAAGGATTCGAACCGCAGCAAGCCGTGTGGTCTCCGTAAAACTTTCAGCTAAGTGTAATGGGTGAGTTGCTCTGTACGGAGACCAAAGGGCGATGCACTGCTCTTTGCAGAAGCGCGGTGGGCCCCTTTGATGTTGGCTTGGCGCACAAGCAATGTTATGTCACAATACCTCCTCTGTTCAACCATCTACCTTAAACCCTGAACTCTGAACCTCCTAGGTGCGTGCAATGACCGGCGCCATCAAGGGCAAGGCGCTGGTCTTAGCGGAAGCTCGGTTGCGGCGGCTGATACAGGCACGCAAGCAGCGGGAGGCGGCGTGGTTTGTCTCAACATGGCGTAGGTCGCATCTGCGTCCGAGCGACGCCACGTGGCCACCGTCCAATCGGCGGGCTGCTGAGCTGGCAGCAGCCAATGGGATGCCTACACGCACGCCTTTGCAGACTGTTACAAAATCGAAGACAATTAGGACAAGGAGTGTCCCAAACAGCATGCAACGGAAAGCAAGCAAGGCGGTATTGGAGGGTGATGACGTGTCAGCAGTGGGAAGTGATGACGTGTCAGCAGTGAGAAATGCTGACGTGGCAGCAGTGGAAGATGATGACATCATCATTGTGTTGCTCGTGCACAACCGGCCGGCGTATCTCAACCGCACTCTGGATGCTCTGAGCAAGGTGGACGGCATACAGCACGTCCTGCTTATAGTCAGGTGCGATAAGAGCATGTTATTGTAACGGGTTGGTTGGTAGACGGGGCGAGTCGATAAATAGCATTTCCGTCTTATTGTTTCGAGAGGTGGACGGATAGTGGTTTCTGCTTACTGTTAGGTGAGATAACATGCAGTATGATAGTCATTCAGGGTTGAGAGGAAAGTAACACCATCAATGCAACGATGCCCTTTTCGCTTCTCTTCTTCCTCCGCCCATCCCGTCCCAACGCCTTTTGTCCCTGCCCCAACCCCTCACAACCCCTCTCCACCCCCCCCCCGCTCCCCCCAATTTCCCCCTCATCCCTTCCCCCTGCTCTCCCCTCCCAGCCATGATGGCTTCTACCCACCCATGCATGCCCTCGTCCGCTCAATCTCCTGCTGCCGGGTCAAGCAGCTTTACTTCCCCTCCCCTCCACTCTATCCCGCTGCCCGCCTCTTTATCCCCTCCCTCTCCCCTCCTTGTCCCTCCCAGTCACGACGGCTTCTACCCCTCCATGCACGCCCTCGTTCGCTCAATCTCCTTCTGCCGAGTGAAGCAGCTCTATTCCCCCCCTCCCCTCCCCTCCACCCCCCCCCCCCCCCCCCCCCCCCCCCCCCCCCCCCCCCCCTCCCCCCCCTTCCCCTTTTCCCAGCCATGACGGCTTCTACCCCCCCATGCACGCCCTCGTCCAATCAATCTCCTTCTGCCGGGTCAAGCAGCTATACTTTCCCTTCTCGCCGCACCTCTTCAACGGAACCTTCCCAGCAGCTTCCACGGACGACTGCCGCGGCAAGTCAAGGCGGCCGTGGGAGACCAAAGCAGGAGGAGCGGAGCGGTGGGAGCAGTGGCAGCGCAATAGTTCAAGACAGGGTGTGCGTAAAAAGGGCATGGCAGGAGGAGCGGTTGAAGGGCTCAGCAATGGGGTGAGCGAGGAGGAGAGGGTGGGGGAGGAGGAGAGGGTGGGGGAGGAGGAGAGGGTGGGGGAGGAGGAGAGGGTGGGGGAGGAGGAGAGGGTGAGCGAGGAGGAGAGGGTGGGGGAGGAGGAGAGAGTGGGGGATGAGATGTCGTGTTGGGGCCAAGCAGATGAATTCGGCTCGTACCGCGACCCAAGATTTGTGTCCCTTAAGGTGCGTGTGGGGACTGTGTCAATCAATCCCCCACCTCCCCGCTTCCCAGACCACCGACCTCTACCCCTCTCACAACTCAGAGCGCTGACGAAGGCCATAAGTCTGGTGATCTGGGTCGGATCTGCTTTTCTCCCAGACCACCCACCTGTACCCCTCTCACAACTCCACCTCTGAACACCCAGCTATCCCACTACCCGCCTCCCCTCCACTTCCTTCCTTCCCCCCGTATCCCCCTTTTCTCATCTTCACGTTTCCCTTCTGCTCCCCCTCTCTCCGCCCGTTCATCTCGTCCCAGCACCACTGGTGGTGGGTGCAGAACACAGTGTGGGATGGCCTGCCAGAGACCAAGTCTCCCTTTTTGAGACGTCTCAAAAAAGTGGGTGCAGAGCAGAACACAGTGGGGGATCGCCTGCCAGAGACCAAGGCTCCCAGCGGGTGCGCCACTGTATTGACCCCCCTCCCCCTCCCCATCTCCATCCCCCTCACTCCCTTTCTTGCTTTCTGCACCCCCACACACCTCCTCCCGCGCAGCACCACTGGTGGTGGGTGCAGAACACGGTGTGGGACGGCCTTTCAGAGACCAAGGCATTCAACGGCCACATGCTCTTTATAGAGGAGGACCACTGGCTCTTCCCCAACGCACTTACCCACCTCCCTGCCTCTCACTCTCCCTGTTCCCTGCTCCCTGCTCCCTGCTCCTCTCCCTCCCACTTTCCCAATCTCGCCTCCTCTCCCTCTTCACTCCCTCCCACGCAGTCCCTACATCCCCTCCCTCGCAGCACCACTGGTGGTGGGTGCAAAACACGGTGTGGGACGGCCTCCCAGAGACCAAGGCATTCAACGGCCACATGCTCTTTATAGAGGAGGACCACTGGCTCTTCCCAATTCCCTTCTTCCCAGCAACTCACAGTCCCTCCGCTTCCCCCTTCTCCCTCTCCTTCCCTTTCCCTCCCTCTTCCTTCCTCTCCCTCAATCTCCCTCCCTCCTCTCCTCCCACCTCTGTCCCGCGCAGCACCACTGATGGTGGGTGCAGAACACGGTGTGGGACGGCCTCCCAGAGACCAAGGCATTCAACGGCCACATGCTCTTTATAGAGGAGGACCACTGGCTCTTCCCCAACGCCCTCTCCCACCTCCCTCCCTGCCTCTCACTCTCCCTGCTCCCTTCTCTTTGCTCCCTGCTCCTCTCCCCCCCTCTTTCCCAATCTCGTCTCCTCTCCCTTCAAACTCCCTCCCACGCTGTCCCTACACCCCCACCCGCGCAGCACCACTGGTGGTGGGTGCAGAACACGGTGTGGGACGGCCTGCCAGAGACCAAGGCATTCAACGGCCACATGCTCTTTATAGAGGAGGACCACTGGCTCTTCCCCAACGCCCTCTCCCACCTCCCTCCCTGCCTCTCACTCTCCCTGCTCCCTGCTCTTTGCTCCCTGCTCCTCTCCCCCCCTCTTTCCCAATCTCGTCTCCTCTCCCTTCAAACTCCCTCCCACGCTGTCCCTACACCCCCACCCGCGCAGCACCACTGGTGGTGGGTGCAGAACACGGTGTGGGACGGCCTGCCAGAGACCAAGGCATTCAACGGCCACATGCTGTTTATAGAGGAGGACCACTGGCTCTTCCCCAACGCCCTCTCCCACCTCCGCGCCTTGCTCTCCGCCAAGCGCCGCGGGCGCTGCAACGAGTGCATCGCTGTGAGCCTCGCCCCTGCTGATGTGGGGGTGGTGGAGGATGAGGAGGAGGGTGCGGCGGAGAGGAGGGGAGTGAAGGCTGCAGTGCAAGCAGAGGGGGAGGTGGAAGATCGGCAGAGGGGCGAGGTTGGAGCGAGGGGATTGATGCGTTCAGTTAGAAGACACGAGGGGAGTGTGGTGGAAAAGGGGGGAGTTTTAAGGCGGAAGGGGCACTTCACGGCGGAAAGATTGGGCAACGTGGGGTACAGCTTCAACCGGAGTGTGTGGGAGATGATGCACGGGCTGGCAGAGGTACGGTGGTTATGGTGGTGGGGGCGTGGGCCTGTTGTTTTGAAACGTGTAAATAATCAATGTAGGGTGCAGCTTGAAACAGGAGTGTGTGAGAGATGATGCATGCGCTGGCAGAGGTACGCTAGTGGGGGTGTCGGCCTGTTGTTTGAAGACATCTCAGTGATAATTGTGAGATGTAACATCAACTGGAGTGTGTGTGCGGGAGATGATATACATGCAGTGGCAGATCTATGGTGGTGGGTGTATGCAATGCTGTTCCACGGGTAAGGTACGCCCCTCTTTCATTTACACTCCTCTGCACACATCTCCACTCTTCTGCACACATCTGCACTCCTCTGCACTCATCTGCACATGTCTACACCTGTGCTGTACGCCATCCACATCCATCCTGTATGCTTCTTGCGTCCAACTTACTGTACGTCCTTTGCTTAAGCAGATTTGTAGAGGTCTCAAATGTTTTATTGAACTTACTTAGTTCCTCTGGCCACTTAAAATTTATAACGCAAAAAAATCCAGACGTCTCAAATCGTGTATCCAATTTACCGATTTGCAACCTCAGCTTTACCCTCTTCTATCTTCGTGCAACTTTTTTTACGATTGTACCGTCTGTTACTCTGCTCCGTTCCCTGCATAACGCTTTCATCACTGTCATGGCTGTCAGGAGTTTTGCTACATGGACGATTACAACTGGGACAGGTCCATGTGGGAGCTCATCTCCCTCCACATGCCATCTGCTCGCATGCTGAGGTGGCACCGTGCCAGTGCATGGCACTTTGGCGAGTACGGATTACATGGGGATGGTAATGCGATAGGGGATTGGAGTGGAATGGGGAATGGGGATGGGGATACAAACAGGAATGGGACTGGATTTCCGCGAATTCCTTGTGGTGCAGGGGGATCCGATGAAGTGTTTAGTCTATCAGAGAAAGACAAGAAGGATTCAATTGATAAAGAAGCGCATCTGGTCATTTTGCCGGTGTACTCAATGCCGGTAGTAAAGGGGGATGGTGGTTGGGGTGATGGCAGGGATATTGCACTCTGCTTACAGATTGCAAGCATGTATACGTAGTGCAGCTATTGTCACATTTGTGTTGTAACCAAGGGTGGGACCCCGTTTGAATAATTTCTTCACCTTTCAAGGTGCCTGCCCGTGTGTGCTTTGGGCAGACCGTCACAGCTGAGCTGCAGCGAGTGGACGGGTACAGAAGAACAATCAAATTTGCATCTGCAACTGTTGGCCAGCTCACCTCAGGTAGTAACCTCTCGGAACCAATCAGCAAACAGCTAAGAATTCTGTCACATGATTCGAGAGCAATTTGACAGGACATCACGTGACGCATCTGCCTTCACACCAACCGCCCCAGGTCAGGATCTTTTGTCTATCGCTGGTGGGCTGTAGATATTTTCCGTGAGCTGGATGCCGTGCACTTTTCGGGGCCCTAAAAGCGAAAAAAGCAAACCTCACATGCTTCCGCCAACCAGCGTTATCTGTGCGGCAATCCCTAAGTTCGCTGCCGTGCCAACTTTTGTTTCGTGCTCTCCCTCCCTGACCACAAAATCGAGCCTGGTTTACCGAACCGCATCCCTCTCGAATCCCTTCCCTACCACCACCTGCGCCACTCACTCGTACACGTGGCCTTGCCATGCCATGCCATACCATGCCATACAACCATACCGAACCAGCCGCAGCAGCCGAACCTTCTCCTCCTGCTCCAAGCTTGTGCTGAGACTCGGTGAGACTGCTGCTCCAAGGAAAATGCTAGAAGCAACCAAACCCCAGGTCCACTGGAGGAACCATCTTGGTTGGAACCCTAGGCTACAAGCCGATTAAGTAGCAATTGCGCAACGCTTCCCGTCTTCATTCGTAGTTTCTTTTCGCGATAAAGTTGTGTGTCACGGAGGAGGCTAACTAAATTAGGGCTATCGGTTGAAGAGTAGTTATTTCGTTCACGTGCGGAGTGAACGAAGTTGGTGCTCCTGATGTGGAGAGTGGTTGCCAGGGGGATCATTTTTGCTGAGAAATCGTTTCAATCTGTGGTGTGCGTTGCCAGAACCGTTTCGACTCACTATGCTGGCCGCGAGCTCGCTTAAAGACTTCTTGTCAGCAGACCTTAGATCTTCTCCTAGATTCAGTCAGTGTTACCGCCATGGATCCTTCCACTCCAGTGCAAGATGGAGTTCTCACGGCAGGCGGTGGGGGATCGGGAGGGGCTGCAGCAGCCGGGGGAATGCCGCTAATATCGCCGTCGGACGTGCACGTTTTAGTGGTGGACGACGAAAGGCTCTCGCGACTAGTCGTCGGAAATCAGTTCCGACGATGTGGTTATCAAGGTGACAAAGTGCTTGCGTGGTGGTGATTCCGGCTCCGAATTTAGGCTGGAGTGATCGAATAACGCTGAAATTGCGTGATGAGAGTAAAGTTTCGCTTTTACTGTCAACGATGGCCAGAAGGTTCAACCGTACGATAGGAAAGCTAAGAACGCGACAGGAGAGGTTAAGAAGCAATAGGAAGAGGTTATCGCGATCTTCTAGAGTTATGGACAGTCTAGGAGACTGTGATTTTGGCCAAGGGGAGTAGAAGCGGACACCAATCGCCGTGTGAGTCGACACGAAAGCCGGGGGGTATACTTGAGCTGCCGGGAAGCGACAGCAGAGCACTTAAATTATGAATTTGCGAGAATAACCGCCTAGTTTTGGTATTGGAGCTCCCTCGAGCTCATTGGCTTTGGACGAACAGATACGCACGGATACGAAGATAGTCGAACGGATACGACTTCAAGTCGTCTTCTAACACTCGAGAGCCGGGAACGCTTTACTGTTATGAGTGATTGCATTGGATTCGATAGACTGGATTTATGGATTCGGAGAGCCGTTGTTTTTAGCTTCAATCATCCACTCGTCGTTCCAATCCTCCATTCGTTGCTGTCGATTGTCGCATGAGTTGACCGACTCGGTTACCGTACGAGGGATATCATGCTATATGCGATCGGGTTCCCAGCAATCTGACGGTATTCCCGGTGTGTGTCGTGGTGCGCAGTGACGGTGGCGGATGGAGGGATGGAGGCCCTCCGGGTGCTGCAGGAGAGGCCAGACGGATTCAATCTTATCCTCGTTGTAAGCTTTGCGGATTGCTCAGGAAATTCGTGCGATATAGTTCCACTTGTCTGATTTGTACTTCTCAGTTGTGGATTTCTCAGCGTTCGCGGATGGTTACCTGCGCTCTGGGTTTCTTACTTCGGTTGTTTTCTGTTGCTGACTGCCGTGACCCTTGTGCTGTGCGATGCTGTGCGACGCTGTGCGACGCTGTGCGATGCTATATGACGCTGTGCGACTCTGTGAACGGTGCAGGACCTTATGATGCCGGGGCTGGACGGGCTGCAGCTGCTGCGAATCCTCCGCGCCGACTCCAACTACAACGCCATCCCCATCATCAGTACGTGCGCATACCTCGTCTGACCAAAGCAACGTTGTTAACTGTACCACACGCTCATTCTGTGCTTCTGGGTTTAGGTCTGCCTGCCTGACGCTGATTCGTGTGCTCTCTGATTGTTGTCTGCTCACCCTGATGGTCCGCCAGCGTATCGTGGATAGGGTCGATGTTTTGTGAGCTGTGGTTCCGTTTTTCGGCGTACGTCAATGTATCGCCTTGTTGGCGTGTGCCGCGGTGCGCATGACATGTGATTCTCTTTCTCCCACGTTTGGCGCTCCCTTTGCTGACGTGGCAGTGATGTCAGGCAACTCCAATCAGGCGACGGTGCTGCAGTGCATAGCGGCGGGCGCGGAGGAGTATCTGGTGAAGCCGGTGACCAAGCGGGACGTCACGCACATGTGGCAGCACGTGTGGCGCCGCATCCAGCTCGTCTCTAACGCGCCTGAGAGCCTGCAGGTACGCTTTGCGCTTGAGAGTTTGCGCCCCCTTGTCTTCTTTTCTGAGGTGCCTAGCTTATCAGCACGCGTGGCGCCGCATCCAGCTCGTCTCTAACGCGCCGGAGAGCCTGCAGGTGCGCATCGTCCCCTTGTCTTCGATAGTTTCTAGTATCTATCCAGAGGAACCGCAGTGCTGGGCAAAATCTAGATTGCTCTTGAATCGTCTAGAAAGTGCACGGCTCATCTCGAACGCGTCAGAGCTTTGGATTGGATGTGCGCAACACTGCCCACTTGCTTCTTGTCGCTCAAAGCATTCTCGAACAAATCGTGCCTGCTGCCTGCCTCAACCGTTGAGCCTCACATTGAGACACTTGCGTTTGCCTTTCTTTCACTTACGGAATGGCAGCCATCTACGTCCTTCCCTCCTATCCCCCTCTTCCGCTCACCACGCTCGCATCCCCCCCCTTTTCCTCGCTCGGCCCTGCAGAATAGCGGCAGTCTGGCGGAGCATTTAGGCGCAGGCGCATCGTTTAAGGCGCCTCAGAACTCAGCTCCTTTCCTCCATCGCATCCCCCCCCCAACCCCCTCCCTCTCCCGCTCGCCCCTGCAGAATAGCGGCAGCCTGGCGGAGCATTCAGGCGCAGGCGCGTCGTCCTGCCCCGACGGGTCCTTCAACCCCAGCGCGGGCGCCAAGCCGCTGCTCTCCCTGCGCTCCTCCTCCGGCATGCACAACCCCCACTCCTCCTTCGACGAGGCGGCCGGCAACACTCTCCCCGCCAGCGCTGCCGCCGCCGCCGCCGCCGCTGCTGCTGCACAGGCGGGCGCTGCTGGCACGGGAACAGCCAGTCGCGGGTACAGGCAAGGTCAGGGGTATGGGTATGGTTATGGGTATGGCGCGGGAGGCACGTCTACGCTCCCCACGCACTCATCTGCTGACACCCGCGGCACCTGCTCTTTTTCCAGCGGCAGTGGCCCCTTGGCCGCTCTACCTCTCCACCCTCATCAACCCCACCAACTTAATCAGTCCCACCAGCCACACCAGATTCGCCAGCCGGTGGGCGTCTCTCATGGGTTTCGCAACGCCAGGGGAGATGAGTCGATGGGTGTGTCGGGAAGCATGGGGCAGCGGGAGGGGTCGGTGGCGGACGTGGTGCTGACGGGGGGTTCGGGGGAGCTGTGGGGCGGTGGCGGAGGCACGGAGATCTGGACTGGTTCGATGGATGGGTGGCAGGCCGTGGGGGACGAACGAGGGAACCCGCAGCAACAGCAGCGACAGCAACAGGAGGAGGAGGAGGAAGCGGAGCAGCAGGTTCAGGTGCAGCGGCAGCAGCAGCAGGAGGTGCAGTATCAGCAGCAGAGTTCAGGCGTGGGTCTGGAGAGGTGGCAAGGAAGGGGAAGCGGCCAGAGCCAACAGCACCAGGAGCAGCAGCAGCTGCAGCAGCAGATGTTGCAGGAGCAGCAGATGCTGCAGGAGTCGCAGCCAGCAACGCCACCGCTGCCGCAGCAGCATGAGCCCGTGGGGTGCCGACGGCAGGCGTGGCAGCAGCGGCAGCAGCAGTGGCAGCAGCGGGGCGGCAGAAAGGCAGCTGGGGAAACGGGCCAGGAGCAGGACGGGCAGCGTTGGGCTGGGAGAGACGCGAAGCAGACGCAAAGGGGGGCTAATGAGGGGTGTGGGCGAGAGCAGCAGCAGCAGCAGTTGCTGCCGCCGCCGCCGCTGCAGCAGCAGCATGTGAAGGAGCAGGCAGTGAGGGAGAAGCGAGGAAGCGAGCTGATGGTGGCCCGCCAGGGGAAGGGCGAGGTGGAGCGAGAGCAGCAGCGGCAGCAGCTACTGGCACAATACCTGCGGTCGGGGGGGCAGAACGTGCAGGCGTTCATCGCCCACATGGACCACACAGGGGCGTGCGGAGGCGGAGGCGGAGCAGTGGGGGAAGGCGCAGGTGCAGGCGCAGGCGGAGGGGGAAGGGGAGGCGCAGGCGCAGGCGGAGACGGAGGTGGTGCTGTTGGCGCTGGTACTGCGTCGTCGGGCAGTGGGGGGGACATTCACGAGTGGGTGGCCCGATTGGAGCAGATGCCAGAGCTGCAGGAGCAGGGCGACAGTGGCGACGGCGGGGATAAGTCGCCAGAGAGCGGAGCAGCAGCACGTGGGGGTGCGGTGGAGCGCAGAGAGCAGGCTGGCACGTGCGAGAATGGGTCGGACGGAAGGGGGAATTCTCGGGGTAGGAAGCTAGGGAGAAGCGCCGGGCAGGGTGGGAGTCCGGGGCAGTCGAATCTCTCAGGGAAGCGAAGCGGCAGCAGTGGCGGTGGGAGTGGGAGTGGTGGCGGCAGTGGGGGTGGCAGTGGGGTTGGCAGTGGGGGCAAAGGTTTCAGGAAGGGCAGCGCAGCAAGGGGAAAAAGTGGGTGGGGCTTTCTGTCTGGTCCCAAGGCGGCAGCCTTGAAGAGGCAGCGCCTGGGAAGCCCCGAGGGCGATGTGAGGCGGGTGGGGAGCACCAGTGGCAGCACAGGACAGGCGGGCGGTGATGGGAAGAGAGGCGGCACAGGCTTGGGAAGTGGCTCGGTGCGTGCGAGCAGGTTCGGGAATGGCGGTGGCGGTGGCTCGGGCTTGGAAGGCGGTGGTTCTGGAATGGCAGGGAGCTCGGGATTGGGAGGTGGCTCGGGGCTGGTTGGTGGTAGCAGTAAGGGGTGTGAGAGGGTTGAGAGGGGTGAGCAGCGGGTTGACGGGGAGCGAGTAGAGGAGGCTGAGACGGCGTTCTGGTCTGAGCGGCGGAATGAGATGGAAGAGATGCAAAAGGAGGAGGTGCGAAGGGAGGAGATGCAAAGGCAGGCGAAGGGAGTGCAGGGCGGGCGTATGGCGGGACAGGAGGACGAGAAGCAGGAGGAGTGGATGGAGGGAGACGGGAGCAGTCACGGGGCGCATGCGCATGCGGCTGGAAGAGACTTCGTTTGGAGGACGTCCCACTCCGTTTCGCGGAGCAACAACAGCAACTGCTTGCCTCCTTCTGACGCCGCTCACCCGTCCATCCCACATGCTGCTCCCCTCGCTCCTCCTCCTGACTGTGCCCCGTTCGTTTCCTTGGAAGCACAGCAATGGTGTGGGGCTGAAGGCGAAGGTGCTGCTGCTGCTACTGCTGCTGCTACTACCACCCCTCCCACCATGCCCCGTGCTCTGTCGGATCCCGAGCAGACCCGCCCTGCCAGTGGCCGCAGTGAGAGTGACCTTCAAGGATGGGGCTCAGGAGATTTTTCAGGTGGTGCGGGTGCTGGTGGGAGAGGGCGAGGGGGGGCATCAGGGCGCGGTAGAGGGGTGGGGAGGGGGACGGGGTTAGTGTCGGGGCGAGGGGTGTGGGTGGGAGGGAGGGTTCAGGTGCTGAGGACGATGAGAGGGCGGCGGAAGGAGGTGTCTCTCTCTGAGCAGCTGATGCGGCAGCAGAGGGAAGCGGAGCAGAGGCGCAGTGGGGTGGGTGAGGGACAACAGCAGGCAGGGGACGAGCAGCAGCAGCAGCAGCAGCAGCAGCGGGACGAGGAGGGGGGAGAAGTTTTTCAGCGGGAGTTGCAGTTTCCCGGCTCGTCGACGCGTTCTCAGTCTCAGAGCCACAGTCGTCAGGGCTGGGAGCTGCAGCAACAGCAGCAGCAGCAGCAGCAGCGATGCTACACGCAGCAGGGGCAGGAGAGTGGGGAGAGCCAAGGGCTAGGTCAGCAGCAGGGGGGTCAGCGCATGCGGGTGCAGAGCGATGGGGATGAGGCGCCTGTGGTCAGTGCTGGGCCGCCCTCTTGGGTTGTGATCCAACGGAAAGGAGGAGGGGAGCTGAAACCTTTGTCGGGTATGGCTGCTTCTACTGCTGCTGGAAGTGCTGGTGGTGCTGCTGCTGCCAGTGCAAATAAAAGGCAGGTGGATGGGCTGGGGGAGGAGCAATGGGGCAACGGCTCGGGTGCTATGGGTGGTGAGAACGGGGGTGAGGGAAACGAAGGTGCGATTGAGAGTGGTGCAGTAGGGGACGGTGCGGTTGGGAGCGGAGCCTGCATGGAGGTGGATGGCAAGGAGGAAGGGGAAGCAGGAGCTGGTTCGGGCTCGGGCGGTTGGACAAACCACTCGTCAGGCTTGTGGGTGGAGAGTGGTAGTGCTGGTGCTGCTCTGACCGCTGGTGCTGCTGGTGCTGCTGGTTCTGGTGGTGTTGCTCTTAGTGCTGGGACTGCTCGGACTGCTGGTGCTGCAGGTGCTGCTGGCGGTGGTGGGCGCATTGCGCTGATGAGCTGCAGACGGCAGCGGTCACAAGGGGGAGGTGAGGGGCGAGAGGAGATGCATGGTGGTGGTGGTGGTGAGGTGGACGAGAAGGAGGTGGGGAAGGAACGAGAGGAGGAGCAGGAGATTGAGGAAAACGAGGAGGAGACGAGGGAGGAGGAGAGGGGAAGGAGGAGAATGGGGGAGGAGGGGATTGCGGGGGTGCATGGGGAGGAGATGGAGAAGGGAGGAGAGGGAGGAGGTGAGGAGGAGCGTGAGGTGAGAGAGGAGGGCGGTGTGCGCGAGGAGGAGTTCCAGGAACGGGTTTCACATGGTGTCCGTGATGAGAGGGCAGCAGAGGAAGCCGGTGAAAGGGATGAGGGTGAGCAGGCCAGAGAAGAGTCGTTACATGAAACAGAGGGGGATGAGGGTGAGCAGGCAGGGATGCTGGGTCTGAATCCCGGAGTGTCACGGGAAGCTGTTGCTGCATGGATGAGGAGTTTGGGGATGAGTGGGTTAGAGGTGAACGGATCTGGTGGTGTGGTTGACCCTCGCATGGTGGCGCTGCAGATGTTCATGCAGCAGCAGCAGATGCAGCAGCGGCTGATGATGCAGCGACAGCAGCAGGAGTTGCAGCAGCGGGAGTTGCAGCGGCAGGAGGAGCAGGATACTGAAAGGCAGGAGCAGGAGATGCAGGGGCAGCATGAAGGTATTCAAGGGCAGCAGGAACGCATGCAGGCCCAGCAGCAGATGATGCTGGGTGCAGCAGCAGAGGAAGCAGAGATGCAGCAGAGTTCAGATCGACAAGGGTTGGGATGGGAGGATGGAGGCGGAACGGACGAGGAGCAGCAGCCAGAAGCTCCTTTAGAGACTGTGGATAGGGAACAGGGCGAGAGGGGAGAGGGGGTGGGCGGACCAACGAGGGAGGGCGGAGGGAACGAGGATGAGGCCCAGAGGGAGTGGGAGCAGTGGCGGCTGTGGGAAGAGCAGCAAGGGGCACTGGAGGGATGGGCAGGCGAGGGATTGGAAGGGGAGGCGATTGAAACGCAACAGGAGCTGCAGCAGGTGCAGGAGCAGGAGCAGGAGGAGGAGGTTGAGGAGCAGGCGGCACAGCAAGAATTGCAGCACAGCTGGGGCCCGGGGCCAGAGGAGGAGGGGCACGAGGAGGGACAAGGGGAGGGGGAAGAGGAATTGCCGAGTGCGGAGCAGGAGGAGCAAGAGTGGTTGAGAAGACAGCAGCAGGTAGAGGGAGTGACTCCCGTGGGATGGGGGGAAGACGGTCCGGCGGAGCAGCAGTGGGGCGTGGGGGAGGAACGGCAAGGCTTGGAACTAGCAGCAATGGGCGTGGAAGGGCAAGGGGTGGAAGGGGGCGAGGAGGGAATGGAAAGGGGCGGAGAAGGGGAGCAGGAGGGTGATGAAGCAGGGGCAGCGGATGTAGCAACGGATGTAGCAGCGGATGTAGCGGACGATTCACCTGAGGAGATGCAGATTCAGTATCTGAGGCAGCGGCTGCTGCAGCTGCAGCAAGAGAGGCTGCTGCGGATGCAGCGGCTACAGCTGCAGCTGCAGCAGCAGCAGCGCTGGCAGCTCGGGGAAGGCGAGGGCAGCGAGGGAGGGGCAGAGCAGGAAGAGGAAGGGGAGCAAGTGGGAGATGCGGCACTGCAGCAGCTGTTGGGAAGCGTGCAGCAAGGGAGAGGGATGCAGGAAATGAGGGATTTGCAGCAAATGGTGCTGATGCGTGGTGAGGGAGAGGAGCATGGGATGGAGGGTGAAGGGGCGGCTGTTGTGGAACGTGGAGAAGAGAGAGAGCATGGAGAGGAGGAAGAGCAGGCGGAGGATCGAGGGCAGGGAGAGGAGCAGGTGGATGGTTTGCAGCAGCGGATGGAACAGGAGACCCAGGAGGAAATTGAAGGGGAGCCGATTGGGGCAGGTGAGAACGAGAGGAGGGATGGGGAAGAGGGAGCGGAAGTGGTGGAGGAAGGGGAGGAAGGGGGGGAGGGGGAGGACGAGGAGGCAAGGGAGGAGCGGAGGCGCAAGTGGGAGTTTTTCTTTCTGCGGCAGCGGCAGCAGCAGCTGTTTGAGTTCGAACAGTACCAGCTGCAGCAGCTTCTGGCCATGGAGCTCGCTGAGAAGGAAAAGGCCCAGCGGGAGAGGGAGGCTGGGGAGGGGGAGACGGAGGGAGTTGGGGAGGGAGTTGGGGAGGGAGAGAGGGAGGGAGTTGGGGAGGGAGAGAGGGAGGGAGACGGGGAGAGAAGTCAGAGGGAGGGAGAGGGGGAGGGAGAGAGGAATGGGGAGCAGGAAGGAGAAGAGGGGAGCGAACGGGAGGGGGGGCAGGAGAGGAGTGAAGCTGAGATGAGAGGTGAAATGGGAGCACTAGCAGAGAGAAAGGAGGGAGAGGAGGAGGAAATGCGGGAGGAAGGGCAGGAGAGAAGAGGAGGGGAGGATGTGGAGTGTCCGAGACATGGGGGAGAGTGGGAAGAGAGGGGAGAGAGGGGAGAGCGGGGAGAGGGCAGTGTGGGAGCGGGAGGTGAGGAGGACTTGGCGCATGTGGGCAGTGCTTCACATGCCTGCGGAGGCACCCCCGCTGCATCTGCGATGGGCAGGGAGCAAGGAGAGGGGGAAGGGGAGCAGGGAGAAGGAGGGAGGGAGCAGGAGGACGAGGAGGAGTTGGTGGGAGGGGAACGAGGGCATGTGCATAGGGAGGGTGTTGCAGGTGCTGTTGCTGCTGCAGATGTGACGGCTTCTGCTTCTGCTTCTTTTCTTGCTGCCGCTGGTACTGCTGCCCAAGGCGTGGGTATGGAGGGAACTGAAGCTGCCCGGGTGGCGGAGGGGAATTCAGAAGATGGATCGATGGAGAGGTGGGGTTTTGAGTCCGATTTTGGCATGGAATACGATTCTCACGAGGACGCCCCTAGAGGAGTTGGGAGTGGAAAGGGCAGCGATGGTGGGGATGAAGATGTTGCTGATGGTGGTGATGGTGGTGGCTGTGTGGGTGCTGCAGCCGGTGGGGATGCGGATGCGGTAGCAGAGCAAGGGACGAGTGGAGAGGGTGGGGGCGAGGAGTGGCGGCTAGCGTTTGACTTGAATGAGGAGCAGCCGGGGGAAGGATGGGCGGATGGAGAGGGCGATGGCACTGCTGGTGCTGATCACTGTGCTGCTGCTGCCGAGCCTCAGGGTGAAATCGGCTGTGTTTCTGCTGTTGTCGCTGTTGGCGCTGGTGCTGGTCATTGGGCCGCTTCCGAACCTCAGGATGATAACGGTTACGGTTCCGCTGCTGACTATGACGCTCATGCTGCTGCCCCTGCTGTTGCTCTTGCTGTTGCTGTTGCTGCAACTGCGGAGGGGGTGTGTGACAAGCATATTGGGGCAAGTGCGTGTGTTGGTGTAGCAAGTGGCAGCAAGGCGGGGCCAGGCGCGCACCTGCTGCTGCTAGACATGAATGCAGAGGCAGAGGAGGCAGCAGACATGGGCTTGGATCTGGGGCTGGGAGGCACGTGTGGGGCACAGCAGAGTCAACAGAGTCAACAGAGTCAACAGAGTGAAGGCGGTCTGGGTGGAGGAGGAGAAGGGGGTGGGAGGGAGCAGGTGGGAGGAGGCATGGTTGTGTTGTCGCTAGGTCTTGAGTTGGGCGCTCCAGAGACAGGAATGTGGTTCGAGAAGGGGAGAGTAGAGGTGGAGAAGCAGGAGAGGGCTTCAGGGCTCCACTCGCCAGCTCCCCACTCCTCAGAGCACCACTCTTCAGGGCCTGATGCGTTGCTGATGGATCCTCCTGTGCCAACAGCGTTGCTGATGGATCCTCCTCCAGTGCCGGGAGCACGCTCACGTGTGGTGAACTGGTTGACGCAGCACCAACAACGGTGGCGAAAGCAGCAGGCGGAGCAGCACGTGAAGGAGGAGCAGCAAGTGAAGGAGGAGCAGCAAGTGAAGGAGGAGCAGGAGGTGAAGGGGGAGGGGAGGCGGGATTTGGAGCAGGAGCAAGAAGGCAAGGAGCGGGAGCAGGAGGAACGGGAGCAGGAGCACCAGGGCAGGCACGTACGTGAGTTTGTTCCTGGATCGGCTCTTTCTTGCGGGCCACGGCCAGCAGAGGAACCAGCAATCGTAACAGTAGAGGTCGAAGCAAAGGTAGCGGCAGCAGAAGCGGCAGCAGTCTCAGCAGCAAAAGCGGGAGAAGGCGCGTCAGGAGCGTCCAGCACTGCCCGTCGCCACTCTTGCTCGCACGTGCTATCCCTCCGGCGCTTCCTCTCGCTGTGTCACACGCAGCAGCAGCAGTGCGAGGGCGAGCTTGTCGCAACCACTGCCAGCAACTGCCCTGCAATACCACCACCTGTGCCGATCCAGCAGCAAGCAGTGTCCGTTTTCTGTGAGATAGCTCGGCTGGTGGCAACAGCCCATGCGAACGGCGAGGCACTAGGAGATCAGCTGCGGCCGTCTAGTATCAGAGTCACCCTCGGGCCCCAGCACTGGCTGCTGCCCTCTTGCTGTGCTTCCAACGCTGCTGCTGGCTGCAGCAAGAAGGAGAAACGCCTGAGGGAGGGAGAGGGTGCCGTGGTGGAGCGACAGGAGAAGGAGAGGGAGGAGGAGGAGAGAGAGTATTACGCGGCGCCGGAGGGGGGCTCAGGGAGTGGGAAGGCAGAGGGTGCTGGGGATGCAGAGAGGGAGAGGGAGAGGGAGATGGCAGCGGATGTTTACCGGCTGGGGTTGTTGTTCTTTGAGGTGAGCCAGACCACCCTGAACTCCTTTCTACCGCTGTTTGTCCCTCTGTCTGTCGCTTTCTTGATGACCTGTCCATTCCTTATCCATGCCATTGTGGAATTCCGTGTCTCGCTGAACCTGTTCTGGTTATGCACTCCCAACGTTTCCTACCTCCGCCGCCGCAGCTGACGTGTCACATGAGCGACCAATCGGAGCGCAGCAGTGCAATGGAGGATGTGAGGAGCCGGGTGCTGCCCACGGGATACCTCATGGCCTTCCCCACCGGCGCTGCCTTCTGCCTCTGCCTGCTGCACCCCGTGCCCTCCAGACGCCCAAAAATGAGGTATGCCTGTGATTTCATTTTGAGGCGCCTCACGTCTTATCTATGCAAGTGCGATAACACACATGCACGTACTTGAGTAGGGATATTATCGAGTCTTTTCAAGAGTCACCCTGATACACTTTCACTGTTTCTAAGCACGTACAGCCCCCTCTGCCCATCTCTCTTCCACCATCCCTCACGTACTCATCCCTCACGTGCCCATCTCTCTTCTGCCATCCCTCCTCTCCTCAGGGACGTCCTCACAAACAGCCTCTATCTCCGCCTCGCTGCAGAAGCTTCCCCCGCAGCTTCCTCCTGCCAGTGCCAGCTGTCCGTGTCGTTTTCACCTTGGCGATCGTCGGAAGCACAAGGGGACGCGGAGGGGCAGGACGAGCAGGAGGAGCATGAGGGGCAGGAGGAGCAGGAGGGGCAGGAGGAGGGGCAGGAGGAAGGGCAGGAGGAGGAGCAGGAGAGGGAGCAGGAAAGGCAGGAGGAGCAGGAGGGGCAGGAGGAGCAGGAGGGGCAGGAGGAGCAGGAGGGGCAGGAGGAGCAGGAGGAGAATGGGCATGAGCATGCACGCCCTCGTGATGGTACTGTTGACGGCAGTGTGTGCATTAGCAGGGATGTGGAGGGGCGTGAGGAGGGAGAGGAGGGAGAGGAGGGAGAGGAGGGAGAGGAGGGGCCGCGGCAGCGCAGGCCAGGCAAGGAACCGATGGTGGAAGTGAGCGATGGGGACGACGATGGTCTGCATTGGATGAAGGATGAAGATGAAGAGGGTGATGAGGGTGATGAGGACGAGGAGTTGCATGGTGGTGGGCGTGGTGGAAAGGGAGAGGAGCTGGAGGAGAAAGATAAGGCAGAAGAGGTGGAGGAGGAGGAAGATGAGGAAGAGGAGGAGGAGCGAGAGAAAGGGTGCGGTTGGAGGGAGGGAGGAGAGGAGGGCGCTGCTGCTCGTGCAAGTCTGGTTGGGGAGGGGTCAAGAGGCAATGCGTGTATTGGTATTGTTGTTGAGGCCACTAGGAAGCGAGAGAGGGCACAGGAAAGGGAGGAGAGGGAGGAAGGGGTTGAAGGTGGTGGGGGAGACGATAGGGAAGGTGAGCTCAGAAGAGAAGAAGAGGAGGAAGAGGTGGAGGAGGAGGTAGAGAAGGAAGAAGAGGAGGGAAGAGGGGAGGGAGGATGGGAGGGAGGAGAGGAGGAGCGGATAGAGGCAGGGGGGATACGGGGGAGCAAGAGGGCTCGGTGCGAGGAGCGGAGAGAGGAGGCGGGTCTGACCTTTGAGTCACCTGAGTCACCTGTGTCACCTCAAAAGCTGACACATGAGAACTTGATTCTTTCTGCGCGCCAACCACTCACAGACGCGGAGCTGACTCCTGAAGCGCCTGAAACACTCACAGAGACGGAGTTGGCAGAGAGGGAGGAGGAGAACGAGGTGCTCCTGGATTTTCTCCTGAGGGTGCAGCAGGGGAAGGCGGAGACCTCCCAGCAGGTGGCCGCCAACCTGGATGGGCTCTCTGCTGACGTGGTGGAGGTTGCTGAGAGGAGGCAGCTGCTGCTGGCGCTGTCTCAGCCTATCAGCGCGCGCCAATTCACGAACCCAGGCACTGGGAGAGGAGCCGAAGCGGATGCTGCAGCAAGAGAGGCGGAGCAAGAAAGGGATGCATCAGGTGCCAGGGTAGGGGCGAGTGGGGAGAGCAGGAACGGTGGTGGGAGTGGTTGGAGACAGGGCCAAAGGCAGCGGATAGAAGAGGAGGGTGCAGGGGGGATGCGTGAGGGTGTAAGACAGGGAGGAGCAGCACAGGCAGAGGGGGGAACAGAGTCACAGGGCGTAAGGGGAACAGGCGAGGAGTGCACTCGCCTTTGTCTTGGAGCAGTGAAAGACAGGGCAAGAGGGGAAGGGGGCGAGGGTGAGAGGGGAGGCGAGGGAGGGAGAGGATGCGAAGGAGAGAGGTTGGGAAGCGGCCAGGCTGGAATGTCCTGCCGTAGCGCCAAGTCAGCCAGGTCAGGAAAGTCAACAAAGTCAACGCGGCCGAAAGCTCCAGTTCCAGCTACCCTACCAAAAAGCCCTCAGGTGCAGGGGAACGCGAGCAGGAGGAGTCAACGAGGTCAACAGAGTCAACGCAGTCAAACCCAGTCAGGTGCTACAGTGCCCATGCGGGCTAGCTCGAGGGAGAGGGAGGGGGGGAGTGAAGGGGCGAGGGAGAGGGAGGAGGAGCGGCGGATGCGGGTGGTGTATGAGAGGAGGCTGGGGGGGCGTTTAAACCGCATGCTGCAGCGCTTTGATAGGCTGGAAGAGGCGTACTTGGCCGTCCGTGCCCGCACAGGCACTGCTGCTACAGATAGCGCCACACATGCGGCCATGGACGCTGCTACAGCTGCTATTGCTGCTGCTACAGGTGCTGTTGCTGCTGCTACAGGCGTTGGTGCCGTTTGGGCTGGTGGTGGTGCGCCTGGCAACTCCTCGTTGCCTTCGGGTGCTGCGGCTGTAGCCAGTGCTGGGGCAGCCGAATTCAGTGAGGATACAGCAGCAGCTGTAGCCTCTGGTGGTGCTACAGCCGTAGCCTCGGCTGCTGCTGCTGTTGCTGTAGCAGTAGCTTCTGGCACAGCACCGGCTGTAGCTCGTGGGGCTCCAGCAGAAGCAGGCGCTACAGCCGCACAGGAAGCTTGGCAGAACCTTCCAGAAGCTGCCAAGGCGTGGCTGAAGCGGCAGTGGGCCATGGGGCCTGCGGGGGCGTTTATCCCTCCTCCTGGCCTTGGTGATTCACATGATCACTCGCATGCACATGCACATGCACATGCACATGCACATGCTCATGTCGCACTTGCGGACAGCAGTGAGCAGCATCTGCTTCAGGCGCGGGCCTCCGCAGAAGAAACTCATTCGGGAGGGTTGGAAAATGGCATTTCCTATTGGGCTGCGAGGGGGCGGGCCGCGAGGGCAGGTGAAGGGGCAGGTGCGGGCGCAGGTGAGGGGGCAGGTGGGGGGGCTGGAGAGGGGGGAGCTGCAGGGAGGGACGGGGACGGGGCAGAGGAGGGGCATATGCAAGAGGTGTGGGGCCGGCTGGGCTGTGTGCTTCAAACGGTGAGGACGCTGGGACGAGATGTGACTGTAAAGAAGGGTGTAGTGGCCAGTGCTGCAGCTGGTGGGGATAGTGGGAGTGGCAGTGCAAGGGATGGTGCCATGGGTGCGGGTGGTGCAGTGGAGAGGGTAGCAGGAGGTGCTGCCCTTGCTTCACCTGCAGCCACAGGCACAGCTGCAGCGGTAGCTGCAGTAGCAGCTGGTGGGGCTGCTCGTACGGACGCGAGTCTAAGGGCGTCCTCTGCACAGGTCACTGCCGCTGCGGCTGCTGATGATGCTGATGCTGGTGGTGGCGGTGGTGATGCCACTCGTGGTGCTGGTGGTGCTGGGGGTGCTGAGTCTGCTGCTCCTGGGTCCATCCCTGCCCCTGCGTCTCGTTCCGAGCGGAAGCGGCAAGCCAGCAGCGTGGGAGGGGAAGAGTTTAGAGAGGAGAGGGGTTGCAGCAAGCGGAGAGCACTGAATGAGCACGGCAGCACCAGCAGCGCCAGCAGCAGAGAGAAGGTGGAACCGGCACTGGGCGCTACAGCGAGGCAGGAAGGTATCGGCGGTGCAGGCGGGGGGCAGGAGGGGGTGAGACGGGGAGGAGGTTGGGAGACGAGAAGGTGGAATGGAGGGAAGCAGGGTGAGAGGAGCAGAACGCCCCCTGTGTGGGAACGTGCGGCGGCGGCAGCAGCGGCGCAGCAGCACAGCTGGCAGCAGCAGAGCTCGTCCGGTGGGGGGGGCAGCTGGGCTGGTGCTGCTGGTGGTGCTTCTGGTGCTGCCGGTGGTGGTGGTTTCGTGGTGGATAGCATCCTGAATGTACCAACCACCACACGGGGCACACATGGTACTCTTTTCTCTGTTGATACAGAGGGGCGGGTTGGAGGAGGAGGTCGGTTTGGTGGTCGGGGTGAAGCGCTGGGAGCAGCTGAGCGCGTGAGGCACGGGCTTTCTGAGCCTTCTCACCCCGTCCCTGCTGCTACGCCAGCTGAAGCTGATTCTGAGGCTTTGCATGCTGCAAGGCTGCCGCCAGCAGTGTTACCATGTGAAGCCGATGCGCCAGCAGTGCCAGCCCCGGCAGCAGTAGCAGAGGCGGTAGCAGCTGCAGTAGCTCCAGAACCAGCAGCAGCACTAGCAGAACTACCAGCACCAGCGCCAGCACCAACAGTGGCAGCAGCAGCAGCAGCAGCAGCAGCAGCAGTACCGGTGGCACCTGCACCAGTCACCACCCGCCCACCACAGCCCTGGTTGGGGCACTTCTTTGAGGGCCTCTCCCGCTACACCAGGTTCGGCAAGCTGCAGGTTCGGGCGGCGCTGCGCCGAGGCGACCTGCTAGGCTCGGCAGACATGGTGTGCTCGGTGGCTTTCGACCGGGACGGGGAGTTCTTTGCTTCGGCGGGCGTGTGCAAGCGCATCAAGGTGTTCGACTGCAATGCTGTGCTGCACGCTGCTGCTGAGAGAGAGGCGCGCGTGAAGGAAGTGAGGGATGGGATGGAGGTGGAGGAGGAGGAGGAGGGAGAGGAGGAGGAGGAACGGGGGAAGGGAGGAGAGGCCGGAGGAGTGGAGAGAGGGGCGAGGTTTGGAAGAGGGAGGTATGGGGAGGGGCGAGTGAGAGCAGGGGGGAGAGGGGGAGGAGCGTGGGGAGGCGAGGAAGGGCAAGAAGGGCAGGCGGGGCAGGAGGAGGGGCATGAGGAGGAGCTGTTGCAGTACCCGGTGGCGGAGATGGCGTGCGATTCAAAGCTGAGCTGTGTGAGCTGGAACCCCTTCGTCAAGAGCCTCGTTGCCTCCTCCAACTATGATGGCGCCGTGCAGGTGAGCACCAGGGCACAGGAGGGGTTGCAGTTTGCATGTGAATGGAATGCTCAATGCCTTTGCATGACTTGTGGGCTCAAAGCTCAGCTGTGTGAGCTGGAACCCCTTCGTGAAAAGCCTCGTGGCGTCGTCCAACTATGATGGCGCTGTGCAGGTGAGCATTGGCGGGGTGCATTGGCATGGCATGGCAATACATGGCATGGCATGGGATGGGATGGCATGGCTTGGCATGGGATGCATTTGCATGGCAAGGCATGGACAGTTGCCAGCGAGCCTCGTGCATTTGAGAGTTCCCATCTCCTTTGTCTCCTCTCTTCTATCCCTGGGTGTGTAATGTGGAATGCGTGTGTGCATTCATTTGCACAAGACGCGTGTGTGGAGTACCATGATGCGTACAATGTACAAGAACACGCACAGACGCACTGCTCTGGTACCTATCCCCTATCTCAACGCACATTCCCTGCTGCTCCATCTCTTTGCATGTGCCTTTCAGGTGTGGGACGTGTGTGCGGGCGAGGCGATCGCAGAGTACAGGGAGCATGAGAGGCGAGTGTGGAGTGTGCACTGTGCATGATGTATGTACCTACTCGTACCAATCTCTCCCTCTGTGCCTCTCAGGTGTGGGACGTGTGTGCGGGCGAGGCGATCGCAGAGTACAGGGAGCACGAGAGGCGAGTGTGGAGTGTGCACTGTGCGCCCACCGACCCCACCAAGCTCGCCAGTGGCAGCGACGACGGCTGCGTGCGCATCTGGAGCTTGCAGCAGGTACGGGCTCTCTGCACTCCCCCTCCCCCTCCCCCTCCCCTTCCCCCTCACTTTCCCCCTCGCCCCTCACCCACTGACCAAACCGATCCCACCAAGCTCGCCAGTGGCAGCGACGATGGCTGCGTGCGCATCTGGAGCCTGCAGCAGGTACACACCCACCCAGCCACCCACCCAGCAAGCTGCAACCATACACAGCCTTTTCTACCTTGGTTTCGTTTTTTTTTTTTTTTTTTTTTTTTTTTTTTAAGGAACTTTGGTAGCCTCCTCAACAGGACTCGAGTGTCACAACAATCCGCACGCGGGCCAACGTGTGTGTGGTGCACTTCTCCCCTTCCTCCTCGCACATCCTCGCGCTCGGCTCCGCAGATTTCAAGCTCGCCCTCTACGACCTGCGCAAGCCGCGCTCGCCCCTCCCTGGCCACTGCCACTCCCTCTCCCCGATCCCCTTCACGTTTCCTCATCTCCTGTGTTGCCCTCCCTTCCCCTCCCCGTCCTCTCCTTCCCCGTCCGTCTCCCCTCCTCCCGTCCTCCCCCTTCACCACAACAACAGGACGCCAGTGTGGCCACCATTCGCACGCGGGCCAACGTGTGTGCGGTGCACTTCTCGCCCGCCTCCTCGCACATCCTCGCGCTCGGCTCGGCCGACTTCAAGCTCGCCCTCTACGACCTCCGCAAGGCGCGCTCGCCCCTCGCCACGCTCCCCGGCCACTCCCGCGCCGTCTCCTACGTGGCCTTTGCGGACCCGCTCACGCTTGTGTCCGCGTCCACTGATAACACGCTGCGCGTGTGGGACTTGAGGGACGTGCTGGGGAGTGCTGGGGATGGTTCAGTGATGGGACTGCAGCAGCAGCAGCAGCAGAGGCATCCCGGGCAGGGAGGCATGGCGCCGTGTGTGCTGACGCTGTCTGGGCATGTCAATGAGAAGGTGAGCAAAGGACTGGGGAGGGGCAGAGATGGGCCAGGGGAAGGCTTAGGTGGGGGTGAGAAGGAAAGGGGAGGAGGGGATCGATTGGGAGAGTGGGTAACGTGGGAGCGAGGTCGATTCTTTTTTTGCCTAGTGCTGAGCGTTGTTGTGCCTTGCCGCTGCACTCGTTTCTTCTATTTCTCCTCTGCCCTCCCTTACCTAGTTCCGCACACGGAAAACCATGAATCTGTTTTCCAGTCCACGCATCCTCTCACCCTGCCCTGAGCCATCCTGTCTTCCTGGCTTCTCACCATCCCCTCTCCCTGTGTGTTTGGTGCCTCTACTCGCCTTCTTTCCCCTTGCAGAACTTTGTGGGGCTGGCCGTGTCCGAATCGGGGTACATTGCATGCGGCTCTGAGAACAACTCGGTGAGTAGTTGTATTGTGCTCTGCGGTGCTGTGCGTGCGGTGCTGCACAGTCGCGATTTGCAAATGCTGTATTGCAAGGGGTATACTTGCAAACCCTATCCTCTCGAATTCTTTGCAGCTTTATTCGCATGGAAAGCGAGCCTTGCCATGCCATGCCCTGCCATGCCATGCCATGCCATGCCATGCCATGCCTTGCCATGCCATGCCATACCACCGCAGCGTGCCAGCCCCATCACGTGCCACCGCTCCGTGGCTGTGGCTAAAGCATGGAGACTAAGGTTCCCTCCCTTCCTTCCATCCTCCTCCCCTCTCCTCCCCCCCCCCCCCCCGTCCCTTCCTCCAGGCATATGTGTACCACCGCAGCGTGCCAGCTCCCATCACATGCCATCGCTTCGGCGCTGTAGATGCAGTTACAGGGAGGGCGGGGGGGGAGGACGCGGGGCACTTCGTGAGCAGCGTGTGTTGGCGCAAGGGCACTAACTCCCTGGTGGCGGCGAATTCAATGGGGGATGTGAAGGTTCTGGAGATGGTGGAGTGAAGATGGGGGAGAGAAGAGAGGGCGGAGCATGAGGAGCATGAGGAGCATGAGGAGCAGGAGGAGCAGGAGGAGCAGGAGGAGCAGGAGGAGCAGGAGGAGCAGGAGGAGCAGGAGCATGACTGCAACCTGTTGTGGAGGCAGTATCGCCCTGCTTATACATACATATATGACCCACACCCAGTACCATATGAAGGCGCCTCAGGAGATCCCAATCTGCACTGCAGCCCACTGTGTGCTGGCTGCAACCAGGCCCTACGATATCAGGAATTTATCCCTGAAATTCCTGATTTTCAGCCTGGTTTTGTGTACCTACACTGATTTTTCAGTGTTGAGATTTTTGTGACACTGATTTTTTCAGCCTTTACTTCATAGCTAACACTGATGTTTCAGACTTTTCTCGAAGTGTACACTGAATGCACATTCCTAATCCTTCCCGTAAAACACCCGAGAGATTCAGTGAACCAACATTTCCACATAAACTCGTATAAATCAACAAGACACTTATGGCTGACGGGATGAAGTGGGTGTCGAATTTCACCGAATGGTAAAGTCTCCGGTTCGAATCTCTCAGCCGTATATCTGGTAAGTGCTTTTACAAATTCAGGCTCTCATTTTTAGCAACCCTGAAAATTCAGGCTTTTTTTTCTAGGAGCCCTGAAAATGCAGGCTTCTTTTCACAGGGACCCTGATGCATCAACGTCCCTAAAAGTGAATCTGAGGGCCTGGCTGCAACGATGCGGTGTGGTGGGCAAACGCTGACAACCAACCAACCCTTTTGAGAAAACCCACGAACGTGTGAAGTGAATTGCCTCCTTCCAATTATGTATTTCATTTTGCTGTTACGGTATTCTCTTACAAGATTTGTACAGTTGCTAGGTACGAGTATGGTATCAGAATCAACGTAGACAGCCTAGTTGTTATAACCACCTTTCTGGTATCTTCAGTCGCTTTACATGTATATTTGATATTATATATTCTTTCCTCCTCATTACTTTCTACCTACAACGGGATTCTCTTACATCTGGCACATACTTTTCAATTTACATTAACAATACACATAATACAACATGGCTCTATCACATTATACACCATGCCCAGCCAATGTGACTAAAAACATCTCTAGAATCTTGCTTGGGTGGGAGGGTCCAACACAGAGGGAAGCCCTGTGGCTGAGTCTGTATGTATTGATGGTCTTTCCACCTGCCAACAGCAACTGCATGCCTCCTGCTTTCACCTGCACTTGTAGCCATTGCAGATCCTGTAATAAGGAACACACCGCCTTCGCCGCCCCCCACACGCACCCTTGGGGCATTTGATCCGCTTGTTACACTTCTTCTTCGTCCCTGTCCCTGTCCCTGTCCCTGTCCCTGTCCCTGTCCCTGTCCCTGTCCCTGTCCCTGTCCCTGTCCCTGTCTCACTGCCTGCTTTGGTATCGCCTGCATTGGTCCCCCCCGCACCTGCACCTGCCCCGGTTGAACCTTCCTTAGGTGCTGCCTCGTCCCCAAGACGGCCTATGTGTACCACCGCAGTGTGCCAGCTTTCCTCCAGGCCTATGTGTACCACCGCAGTGTGCCAGCCCCCATCACATGCCACCGCTTTGGCGCTGTGGATGCTGTCACGGGGAGGGCGGGGGGAGAGGACACAGGGCACTTCGTGAGCAGCGTGTGTTGGCGCAAGGGCACTCACTCCCTGGTGGCGGCAAATTCCATGGGCGATGTTAAGGTGCTGGAGATGGTGGAGTGAAGTTGGGGGAGAGAAGAGAGGGCGGAGCAGGAGGAGCAGGAGGAGCAGGAGGAGCAGGAGGAGCATGAGGAGCATGACTGCAACCTGTTGTGGAGGCAGTATCGCCCTGCTTATACATACATATATGACCCACACCCAGTACCATATGAAGGCGCCTCAGGAGATCCCAATCTGCACTGCAGCCCACTGTGTGCTGGCTGCAACGATGCGGTGTGGTGGGCAAACGCTGACAAACAACCAACCCTTTTGAGAAAACCCACGAACGTGTGAAGTGAATTGCCTACTTCCAATTATGTATTTCATTTTGCTGTTACGGTATTCTCTTACAAGATTTGTACAGTTGCTAGGTACGAGTATGGTATCAGAATCAACGTAGACAGCCTACCGTATTTGTAATAACCACCTTTCTGGTATCTTCAGTCGCTTTACATGTATATTTGATATTATATATTCTTTCCTCCTCATTACTTTCTACCTACAACGGGATTCTCTTACATCTGGCACATACTTTTCAATTTACATTAACAATACACATAATACAACATGGCTCTATCACATTATACGCCCAGCCAATGTGACTAAAAACATCTCTAGAATCTTGCTTGGGTGGGAGGGTCCCTCACAGAGGGAAGCCCTGTGGCCGAGTACGTATGTATTGATGGTCTTTCCACCTGCCAACAGCAACTGCATGCCTCCTGCCTTCACCTGCACTTGTAGCCATTGCAGCTCCTGTAATAAGGAACACACCTCCTCCTCCGCCCCCCACACGCACCCTTGGGGCACTTTATCCGCTTGTTACACTTCTTCTTCGTCCCTGTCCCTGTCCCTGTCCCTGTCCCTGTCCCTGTCCCTGTCCCATGTCCCTGTCCCTGTCCCTGTCCCTGTCCCTGTCTCACTGCCTGCTTTGGTATCGCCTGCATTGGTCCCCCCCGCACCTGCACCTGCCCCGGTTGAACCTTCCTTAGGTGCTGCCTCGTCCCCAAGACCCCCCTCTGCCTTGCTGCTGCTGCCATCACTGCTGCCGCCGCTGCTGCTGCCTCCTTTGCTGCTTCCTCCCTTGCCCTTGCTGCCCCCTTTTGAACCACCACCGCTTTTTTTGTTGCCACTGCTGCTGCTGCTCCCGCTGCCACTGCTGCTGCTGCTGCTACTGTTACTACCGCTGCCGCTGCTACTGCTACTGCTACTGCTACTGCCGCCACTGCTGCTGCCACTGCTGCTGCTGCTGCTGCCACTGCTGCCGCTGCTACTGCTGCTGCTCCCTTGGTCCTTCACCTTCTCACCAGTACCACCTTCCTCCCCAGACTTTCCACTTCCATCTGATTGGCTGGCCCCGCTGCTTCCCTCACCACTTCCCTTCTCTCCCACAGCACTCGTCGTGTCCTCTTCCCCTGCACCACTCTCCTCCTCCTCTCCCTCCGGAACATTCCCTTCCTCCTCTCCCTCCTCCTCGTCCCCGTCCTTTTCTTCCGATCCAGCAACCGTATTGCCCCCCTCACTGCCACCCTCCTTCTCTTCACTACCACTGTCAGAACCGCTTTTAGCCCCACTGTCAGCTCCACTCTTCGCACCCTCCTCAGAAGCACCTGTGGGAGTTTCTTTTGCAGATTCAGCACCGCTGCTGCCACCGTTAGCATCAGTGCCGCCCACAATGATGGTGCCACCGCCACCAGCGCTAGTGCCACTGCCACTGCTGCCTGCTCCCTTCACAAGGCTGCTGCTCCCACTGTCCTCACTCCCTTTGCTGCTGCTGCTGCTGCTGCTATCACTGTTGCTGCTGCTGCTGCTGCTGCTGCTGCTGCTGCTGCTGCTGCTGCTGCTGCCAGTGCTGCTGCTGCTGCTGCCGGTACCACTGTTGCTGCTGCTACTGTCAATTGCAGTGCTGCTGTCGCTGCTTTTGGTCTGGGAGGCGGTATCGCTACTCCCACCATCGCTCTCACCACTGTTGCTACCACCACCGCTGCTGCTGCTGCTGCTGCCATCACCACTTCCATCGTCCTCCTCCTGAGGGCCTTCGCTATTGTCACTCTCATCGTTTGCTTCCTCCTCCTCAGCAGTCAAAACTGCAAGGAGATGCAAAAGATTTGCATGGAAAGAGCGAGGGAAGTGAGGAAAGGGCGAGGAAAGAGCACGGTATTAGAGGTAAGGATCGTTACAAGTGAGTGTGCTTATTCGTCCTTCACATCCAGTACTCTAGTGGATAGGGAGGCTGGCAGGAGGGCAGAACAGAAAGAAAAATATAAAAAAAAAGTGAAGTGTTGGATTACTCACCATCTTGGCACACCATTGTTACAGTCACACTCCCCGCCTCATCCGCTGATTCCGGAACAGTATCCATCTTTGCTACACACACTCTCCCCTCGCCGCACGGGTTGACTTGCGTTGACTTTATTGACCAGCCACACACCGCACACGCCTCCTCCCCCCTCTGCTCCCCACCCGCCCCTTCTCCCGATGAACAGTGCCCGGAAGAAGACAAGCAGTTGCCGCCCGCGCTGCACTCGTCGAGTTGCGAGGCGAAGGAGGGGAAGGAACCAGCGAAGAAGTTTCCTGAGACGTCAAGCGTTTTCAGGGCGACGGAGGGAGGAGACGGCAGAAGCCCAATGAGGTAGTTGGAGGCTAGGGAGCTGATGGTGGGGGAGAGGAGGGCGGGAAAGGGGGGTTGGGGAAGAGAGAGAGGAAGAAAGAGAGTACGCAAGGATGGAAGGGGAGAGGAAAAAGGTTATAAGTTGAGACGGCAGAACGTTTGTGAGATTGTCGGAGGCTAGGGAACTTATGGGAGGTGGGGGGGAAACGGGAGGGAAAGGGGGGAAGGGGAAGGGGAAGGGAGAAGGGAGAGGTGGGGAAGGGGAAAGAGAGGGAGAGGAGGAACGGTAGTGGAGGCATGTTTCAGTGTAATATGCCGTAGATTTGATATGCTGCAAAAGGGCAAGTGGAAGGGGTTAGGGGGAGGGGGGTGATTGAGGCTGGTAGAGACAAAACGGGTGTGAGGGAGGGGGCCACAGAGAAGGAGCAGGTTGAAGGAGGTTTGTTACCGCGCTGGCAGGGGAACAGAAGATGCTCAGTCAGACCGAGACATGTGGATTGACAAGATGATTTAGGAACTGAGACGGAGGCATAAATAGACCAGAAGGCGGAAAGCAACACAAGCAGGCATGGGATTTCAGAAAGGCTCACAGGAGTTGGAGGCTGGGCATGAGGAGGAGGGCTTCTGGGACGGAGCCGTAGAGGTAGTTACTGGACAGGTCGCTGTGTGGAAGGGTTAGTTAGAGAGGGAGGAATGTGTGTTAGAGATCGCAATTGGAAGGATGGAAAATGGAAAAGAAAAGACTAGAGGATAGAAAAGGCTAAAATGGAGTCTGAAATTGGCAGGAAACAAAATAATAATAATAATAATAGTAATAATAATAATAATAATATAATACGAGTTTGTTTTATAAACATGTATATGTGTAACGAGCTTGGTTGACGTACATGTAGGCGATGGATTTGATCTGCAGCAGCGGGGCGACAAAATCGCTAAGCTCCACGTTGAAGAGGTTCATTCCCAGGTCGCTGGAGGGGAGTGAAAGGGTGTTGAGATGGGTGGTGAGGGGTTTAAAGAGGAGGAAATGGATTGGAGGAGAGAGAGTAGAGGCGAGAGTGGAAGCGAGAGAGTGGAGGAGGGGGGATTGGTGATACTGACATGGGAGTGCACAGGGAGGGGTGTGGGCGGAGTGAGGAGGAAGGTGCTGACAAGGAGAGGGGTATATGGTGGCGGTGGAACTGACATGGAGAGGGATGTATGGTGGCGGCGGAACTGACATGGAGAGGGATGTATGGTGGCGGTGGGACTGACATGAAGAGGGATGTATGGTGGCGGCGGAACTGACATGGAGAGGGATGTATGGTGGCGGCGGAACTGACATGGAGAGGGATGTATGGTGGCGGCGGAACTGACATGGAGAGGGATGTATGGTGGCGGCGGAACTGACATGGTTGTGAGTGCGGAGAGTGCACTGAGTTCGGGGCTGAGGTTCCCCACGAGGCCCATGAAGTTGAGCACGCTGCGGTGGGGGGGGGGGGAGGGAGAGCGGGAGGAAGGAGAGGAAACACGAGAAGGAAAGTTAAAAGAGGTGTTTAACGAAACTGAGGAAGTAGAAGCGCATGCGATGCGACTCGGAGCTCGAGACGAATCACAGCGACACGGGTTGATTCGCTGAGGCATGGGGTGACTCACAGCGAAATCGGTTGTCCGTTGCACGTACGTCCATGATCCCTCCATGCGTTGACTCGCAATGAGACCCGTTGACTTACAGTGAAACCGGTTGACCGTTGGAGTCGCAACGCACGTACGTCCATCCCTCCGACGACGGCTGCACCTCGCCGTCCGGCGTGCACGTCCGACCCGCCGCCCAGTCCGATAGCGGCACCTGCGCGTCGTCGAGCAACTGTAGAAGTGCCGCCTCTGCGACGCAACGGACGTGCAGAGAACGACAAAGGGGATAGAAGGATCAAATATGAGCCTGATATTTTTGACCGACTTGAAGATTCCAGTGTGGCGACTCGCCTGCACGAACTTTTCATTGCACGCAGAGTCTAGTGTGGCTCCTGAAAGGGTACTATACTCCCAACCTGCAGAAAAACGATTTCCTCGTCGCGACGGCGGAATCTGTTTCTTAGGAGCCCGAAACCAGATACAATATTCAATGGGACCTCCAGAATAACGAGACTTTCGTCGCGACGCGGAATGCGGCGCTATTCGTCCGATTCGGCCGACTCTGCTGAAATGCCGGTAGTGCGCGAGCACGATTGAATTGCTGCGCACCTGAACCGCTGCGCACCTGCATCGCTGCGCATGGCGACTCCACTGGCCGACGAGAGCGGCGAAAAGAGCAGCAGCAGCGCAAACGCCACTCGGAGCCGCGACAGTCGCCGAGAAACCGAGGCGGCCGTTGAGCGCGCCGCCATCATAGTAGCGCTGACGAAATCTGCTGATCAGCGCTTGCGACACCTGACGGCGGCGGGAGACTTTTCGCCCCGGCCTCCGCGATGATATGGGACGACGGTCGGATCGTTCTGCCAGTACTACTATTAGCTCGACGCCCTATGGGCGGCTCTGTTGAGTCCGAGAATTCTTGGCGTGAAGGCCGCTCTGCGGCCGGCAAAAATTATGTCTTCCTCGTGTTGAACACTGAAGCGGCGAGAGCTACTATTTCCTGTGAAAGGCTCTCAGCGTGCGACCGAAACGGCTCCCGAGTAAATTTTACCCTGCTCGAAAAAGTGGGTCTTCCGTTTTCTACGATTTACTGAGAGAAAGGGAGCAGGTGCTTGCTTATCACAGTGTGTATCAGTGGTAGTACGTGTACTAGTCCAGTAGTACGACGCTGAGCTGCAAGCAGGGGAGGAGCCGCCGTCCGTGACTGATGATTTTTGCGTTGCGGGGCAAATGAACAAAGAACAAAACCAGCTGGAGTCACAACTACAGTACTGCTCTTTGACGAGTCTCTTTCGCACAGTCTGCATATTACAAGTGAACTGCTTTGGAGTTAGGCGCACAGTGCAGCGTGTTCAGGAGAGGTGTCCTTACTCTTGCTGTTCCGTTCAGGAGAGTCATACTATGGCGAATTTGTGGAGCAGCGGAGAACTAAGTGGTGTGGTGTGGTTAGTCGGTGCGTAGGACGATGAGAGATGTGTTCGGTGAACGAGAGGGGAGGGGAGAGGAGGAGGAATGAAGGCTTACTGTGCGAGGCATGTGGTTGGCCTGACTAAGATAAAATGATGAGGTGGCTCACATGCGCGGTTCGAACATTAATTCCTTTCGAGTCGCGGGCTTATGGCCCAGACACACCAGGTATGCCTGACGCTAAGAATCAAGGGCTTGGATGTCGAGCCTTTCGCCACTTCTCGTCTGCGAACTAAATGAGTGAAGTTGTCCTCCTCGCCCCCCCCGTCCAAGGAAGAAGAAGTACAAGCGAGATAGGCGAAAGTTACCCATTTCGAGAAAACTATTTGTCCAGAGGGCATGCTGATGCAATGTTTGAATTTCCACCTGAAAAACCTGTCACTTGTCGCTTTGTGTGGACCTGAACAGTTCTGACCGACTGGACTCGGCTAGGCTTATCCAACAAACAACAGCCAGTCCAGCACGTTGTTGTTCCCCCAAAAGGGGCCACGTCTGTAGAATGAAGTGGTTCTGTTGGATTTGAAAAGAGATCACGCATGTTAGCTTTCGCGTACAATCATAACGAAAATTGGGTCGAGGGTACAGTGGCCCCACTCTACATTAGAAAATAAGGTGATTCTATTCTTCCAGGCTTTACAGATTTTCTTTAAAGCTTTACAGCTTTACATGCCCTTGAAATCTTGATTCTTCTCCGGCCTCCATAAAGTTTTCGACCAAAGACGCAAAATTAAAATCTTCAACAAATGAGGCCCAGAATCAGATTCATGGCATCTTGACCCTTGTACACCAAATAAGCTGACAAAACCATCAGATCCGTTGCATCTAGCCCGCGTACACCTTATAGAGCAATTCAAAACCCTTCAGATCCATGGCATCCACCCCTCGTACATCTCACACAGGTTGTCAGGGCTACACGCCTCCACCATTAGCTGCCTCACCACCTTCTTAGTCGAAAGCATCTTCTGTGAGGTGGAATGCTCCTGCAATGTGGCCTTGCTGCTGCTGCTGCTGCACAAGAAAGTGACGAAGTTGAGAGCACCAGACAAAAACATGACAACATCAACAACAACAGCAAAAAAAATCAGAAAGGCCCAGAGAAAATACAAGACAGGAGCTAGCAGAGCAGGGACCATAATCGAATATGAGTAGAGTAATTTTGACACATGGCAAAAAGATATGCATGTTACCGTGGAGTGGCAGCAGGGAGCAGAATGGGGTCTTGCTTGTTGAGCTTCTGCTGCAGGTGTAATATGACCTGCTCCGCATGCTGCCTCGCCTTTGCCTCTGAGTCAAACAAAGTCAGAAAAGTCAAGCAGGTCAAGCAAGCCAAGCGAGTCACGCGAGTCAGGCGAGTCAAGCGAGTCAAGCGAGTCAGGCGAGTCAGGCAAATCACCCAAGCCATGGAAAGCATGCGGGCATGGGGGAATAGGGGGGACATGGGAACATGGGGGTCATGGGGAACATCGCAGGGACAGGTGGGACAAGGGATAGGAACAAGGGACCAGGAAGCAGCACTCACCGCACCAGCACAGCACCATCCAGAGCTTCCACATACACCCCCACTTGCCGTTTTTAAGGCAAGCAAAGAGGCACACACAGACCACTTACCGCGCCTACACACTGCCAGCACAGCGCCATTCAAAGATTCCACCGTCACCCACTTCGGAGAGTATTTTTGACAAATGGTTTTCTACAAGTGTTTGTTGATACTCAACAGAGATGACCCCAGGAGGGCAAGGAGGCACACATAACGCACTCACCGTGGGTACACACCGCCAGCACAGCGCCATCCAGACCTTTCACCGACACCCGCCTTGGAATCATTATTGACAAGATTATTTATTTGCCAGTGTTAAGATGACTGCAGGCAGGCAACGAGGCACACACAAAGCACTCACCGCGTCTACACACCGCCAACACGGCACCATCTAGAGCTTCCACTGACACAGCCGTCTTATTTGACCAAGTGCTTTTCTACAGGTTTCTTTTTACAAGTAAACAAGATGATGGCAGGCAGGCAACAAGCCACACAAAAAGCACTCACCGCGTCTACACACTGCCAGCACAGCACCATTCAGAGCTTCCACTAACACACCCGCCTTATTTGACCATTCTCTTTACAAGTAAACAAGATGATGGCAGGCAGGCAACAAGCCACAGAAAAAGCACTCACCGCGTCTACACACTGCCAGCACAGCGCCATTCAGAGCTTCCGCCGACACCCGCCCGGCTGGCGGTGATTCTTCCGCCAGCTCGGATTCTCCTTGCACTGCTGGCGCTGCTGACTGGGCTGCCAGCTGGCGGCGCTTGGAGAGGCGGAGAGCGTGGAGGGAGGAGAGGGTGGTGTGTGCGAGATGGGAGATGGATGGGAGGAGGGAGGAGCATTGCTGGTGCAGGGAGGTGGAGAGGCGGAGGAGAGAGGAGAGGTGGTGGGGGTGAGAGGAGGGAAGTGAGGGCGTTGCTCCGTGAACCTGGGGGAGTGGGTGAGGTTGGGTGGAAGGCAGGTTTGAATAGTCTGAGCTGAGACGCAGACGCAAGACAGTGATACATTGATACACAATTATAATAATAATTAAAAAAGAAGAGCAATTTGACTGAAATAAAAAACGCAGGAACAACTAAATAACGAGCTGTGCACTTGTGAGAATTCTCGCAAGTGATTCGTCGTGCATGGATGAGTAAGCATGGGCCCCATGGGTTACCGTGGGCCCCTGGTGGGGTATGTATGGTATGAACAGACTCTGACTGACTTGAGCACAAACGTTTGGGTCGTTATCAGCCCTTACTGATTCAAACGTTTGGGTCGTTATCAGCCCTTACTGATTCAAACGTTTGGGTCGTTATCAGCCCTTACTGATTCAAACGTTTGGGTCGTTATCAGCCCTTACTGATTCAAACGTTTGGGTCGTTATCAGCCCTTACTGATTCAAACGTTTGGGTCGTTATCAGCCCTTACTGATTCAAACGTTTTGGGTCGTTATCAGCCCTTACTGATTCAAACGTTTTGGGTCGTTATCAGCCCTTACTGATTCAAACGTTTGGGTCGTTATCAGCCCTTACTGATTCAAACGTTTGGGTCGTTATCAGCCCTTACTGATTCAAACGTTTGGGTCGTTATCAGCCCTTACTGATTCAAACGTTTTGGGTCGTTATCAGCCCTTACTGATTCAAACGTTTGGGTCGTTATCAGCCCTTACTGATTCAAACGTTTTGGGTCGTTATCAGCCCTTACTGATTCAAACGTTTTGGGTCGTTATCAGCCCTTACTGATTCAAACGTTTGGGTCGTTATCAGCCCTTACTGATTCAAACGTTTGGGTCGTTATCAGCCCTTACTGATTCAAGTAGGACAATGAAACTGTTTTGAGTCGACTCAAAACACGACTCGTTATCTGAGGCGCCTAAAAAACCCTTACTGATTCAAGCAGGCCGATGAAACTGCGGCACTCCGAATGCACTCTCTCGGCAGTTGTTGTGACACTATCCGGTGTGATTACAGCAGAAATGACTGAGCTCTGCACTGCAGACGCCGCATCAAAGACCTGTTGGAGCAAAGGAGGGAAAGAGAGAGAGGCAAAGGAGGACAAGGAGTTGTTTATTCAGGCGCCTCAAAAATCAAAGGAGAGCAAGGAGAGTGGCTGGGAACGATGCAGGAAGGAGGGAGGGTAAACAACAAGCATGCACTAGTTTGGCCAGCTTTGACCAACGAACCAGACTTGCTTGACCAGCATTGACCAGAACGAGCCTGCTCTTAACTTGTTGGACCAGAATTGACCAGAAATTGCCTGTTTGAATTGTTTGACCAGAATTGACCAGAAAATGCCTGCTTGACTTGTTTGACCAGCATTGACCAGCATTAACTTGTTTGACCCGTGTTGACCAGCACTGACCTGGCGAATGAGCGGCAGGATGGAGTGAGAGAGGAAGGGGGCGAGGCTGGCAGCAGCCAGTGAGAGGCCAGCTGCTGCTTGGTGCGCTTGGGACAGGGCGGCGCTGTGATTGGCTGACTGCTGCTGCAGAGTGACTGTAACGGGAGGGTGTGATGGGGGAAGGAGGGTGAAAGGACGAGAGGGGGGGGAAAGGAGATGCAAAGAGAAAAGCACTTCTTTCTTGAGACGACAGGGTGAGTTTCCGTCAGTCACTAGTCAAATAGACTGTAAGCGGAGGTAGATTCACATTGAAACATTAAACTTGGAATCTTGTTGCGACATCTGAGATTGGACTAGGCCACCAAAAAACCTGGTAATTCACCTGACAGCCTGTCGACCAGCTTCTGAGTCGCTAGCCGTGCCTCTGTTGTTTCCACCCGAGCGGCTCGAGCCACCCTCTCTGCCTGCTGTGCCGCCTGCAGATGGACTGCAGAGGCTGTTTGGATGAGTGAGGGAGGGGGTAGGAGGAATTTTGAGGCCCTTGAGAATACACAACTTACTTTTGAAATTTCTAAAAAATGAATCCAATATAACTTAGACTTTCAAGTTTAAGAATGTGTTTTGAGACTCTTGACACTTGGGGTTGAGGGTTTAAGGTTTTGAAACGGAGATTCTTGAGACATTTTATGAGTTTGAGAACGTGCCGCCAGCTGATGGGCCCAGGAACTTGCTTGCCAAGAGGGTTGTGAGTGATGCAGCACAGGTAGTAGTGGTGGTGAGGTGAGAAGGGAAAGCAGCGTGTGGGGTGTTTGGGGGGGAAGGGGGGTACAAGGGGCGGCGAGAGGGAGATGATGGGAGTGAGAGATGAGATCGATGTTTTTTTTTCTCCTTCTCACCTGCCACGTCAGCAACTGCCCTGTCCACGTCCATCAGCAGCGGCCCATATACTGCCGCAGCCGGCCGCCCGCCAGCTGGCAGCCCCGAGGGGAACAGAGGCACGAGGGCAACAACAGCAGGGGCAGCAGAACTGGCAGCACCGCCGACAGCAATAGGAGCAGCAGCAGCAGAACTTGCACCAGCAGCACTGGCAGCAGTGGCAGCGGCAGCAGCGCTAGCAGCAGCAGCAGCGTTGGCGGCAGCGTTGGCGGCAGCACTGACGGCAGCAACGGGGTCTTTAACGAGCCTGCCGTCCCTGCTCGCCTCTACCTGCAGCACTCGCCCCACCACCTGCACCACCCGCCCCACGCCCTCGTGCCCCCCCCACAGCACCTGCCGCCGCCGCTGCTTTCGCTCCAAGTACGCCGCGGGGAGAGAGGTAGGCGTTCCTGCTGCTGATGCTGCCCTGCCGCCGGTGCTGCTTCTGGTGGCGCTGCCAGTGGTGCTGGTGGCGGCAGTGGTGGTGTTACTGCTGCTGGTGGTGTTACTGCTGGTGGTGGTACTGCTGCTGCTGCTGCTGCTGCTGCTGCTGCTGCTGCTAGTGTTGCTGCTGGAAGTGGTGGTATACCACCAGAAGAGCAGCCGGTCCAGGTCGGCTTCTACAGTGGCGCCGGCCGCCTCCCACATCTGGATGGCTTCTGTTGTCTTTAGCACCACGGCCAGATCGGCACAGATTTGGCTTAGCAGGGCAGTGCGGGATGGGGGTGAGGGTAGTGGCTGCTGCTGCTGGTGCTGCTGCTGCTGACTGCTGCCGATTCCACCACCACTACCAACACCGGAAACATCAGCACCAGCAGGGACAGGTGAGCCTTGGTGAGCAGCAACACCAGCAGCAGCAGCATCAACGCTGCTAGAGCTTGCACCCAAGGTGGCAGCAACAGGAACAGGCGTCACAGAGCCAGGTGGCAGCTGCGGCTCGTGCAGCCAATCAAATCCTGCCAGCTCAGCGCGTGCAGCAGCAAGGGCTGCCACGTGTGCAGCGTGCATGCGTGGGGATGGCCCGGGAGAAGTTGCACTGCCAGCTGCGTGTTGCTTGCTGGCGTCAGCAGCACGCCTGCTGACCTCAGCCTGGCAGAACTGGCCAATGAGGGATGAGAGCTCCAATTCTCGCTTGCTGTAACCCATTGCAGCAGCGACAGCAGCACTATCAAAAGTGCTTCCACTGCCTTCAGCACTACCAGCTCCACTGAGAGTTGCAGCAGAAGCAGCGTTACCAGGGCCACTGATGACGGCAGTGGCAGTGGCAGAATGAGCATCAAGCGCAGAAGCCAGATTGGCTGGTTGAACGAACTGGCACACTAGGGCCTCCACCAGTGGCCCCAGACCCTGGCTCGTATACGCCCTCAGCCAATCACAGACCGCCACACGGATCTTCTTCGAAAGATCGGCTTCCTTACTCCGGCTCGCCTCCTGCTCTTCCAAGCCCTTACCCCCTCCTGTCACCCTGCTTTTCTCATTAGATTCCCCTGCTAGGCCAGATTTGGTTTTCTCTGTGCCCTCCTGCCTCCCCTTCTCAGCACGCCCTGCGTTTGCTCCTTTCCCCTCGGCTAGACACGCTCTCAGCACTGCCGCCACCAGTTGCACCCGCACCACAAAAAGACGTGCTGATGGCGGTAGGAGGAGCAGATGAGGGGAGGTCGCTCCTATCTCTGCTACATCCATAGAGTCTGCCAACGCTGGGGCAGCAAGAGCAGGAGGGACAGCGAGAGCAGCAGTGGCAGCAGTGGCAGCAGTGGCAGCAGTGGCAGCAGAGGGTGGAAGCAGGGATAGGAAGGAAGAGTGGGCCTCTGCAAGAGAGTCAAACGACCGGTAGAGGTGGATCAAAGAGGTGCAGGAAGAGGGGTCAAGGGAATGGCATGGAGCAGAAAGAGGAGAGAGGTCGGGGCCTGAAAGCGATGGTGCTGGTGCTTCGGCTGCTGGAGCTGGGGTTCCTGCTGCTGCTGCAGACAATGCCGATGCTGCTGCTGGTGGTGGTCCTGATGATGGTGATGCTGATGGTGGTGCAACAGCAACGCTTGGAACAGTGCAAGAAGCAGCAGAAGCAGCGGCAGCAGTGGCAGCAGCAGCGGCTGCAGCAGCACTAGCGACAAGAGCAGCTGCTCTGGCTGATGCTGCCTTGGCTGCTGCAACAGCTGCTGCTGATGCAGCAGAGGAGATTGACAGGGGAGGCATAGGAGGAGGAGCAGCAGGCGTGGCGGCAGCAGCAGCAGCAGCAGGCAGGAATGGGGTGTAGGGAGCAGCAGCGTGGTGTAGCATTGCTTGTCTGGGCACGAACGGGGCGGCATGAACAGTGTCCGCCAGCTGGAACTTGGGCTTGGGCGGCGGTGAAGGGGCGGCGGAGGAGGAGAGGGGCGAGGGGAGGGAAAAAGAGGAGGAGGAGGAGGCGAGAGAGGAAGAGGAGGAGGAGGATGAGGAGTGAAAGGAGGAGGAGAGGGAGGAGGGGAGGGAGAAGGCAGGGGATGGAACGAAGGGAGCGGGGAGAGGGGAGAGGGAGCTGAGGGGCTTGTGTGGTGTGGGGAACTGTGAGGTGGGGGAGGTGGGAGGGGAATGGGGAGTAGAAGAATCAGGGCGAGGCGATGGAGAGACAGGGACAGCAGGTTTTGGTTGCGACGGCTCCTGCTGCTGTATGAGAGAGGGAGAGGAGGATACAGAGTCTGGTTGCTCCGTTCCCTTGTTGTCTCGCTGCTGCTCCCCTGCAACCTCTGCAGTAGTGGCAGCATCACTGGCACCAGCAACATCAGCACCAGCACCAGAAGCAGCAGCAGCAGCACCAGCACCAGCAGCACCCGTCCCAGCACCAGCATCAGCAGCAGCAGCAGGGAGCGAGCCCATGAGCTTGTCTATAGCCCTCTCCTCCTCCTGGAGAGCACCCAGCAGCCACGAGTCACCCTCTACCACTTCACCACCCACACCACCACCGCTGCTTTCCTTCCCCCCTCTACTATCACCATCCCTACTGTCATCCCTCCCCCTTCCCTGCACCAGACGCTCAATCCTGTCAGAAGCTTTCAAGAACTGGGCTATGAGAGGTGACGAAACTCCATTCGACGTGCTTGTACTCAGGCTCGAATTTAGGCTCGGAGCGAGGCTGGGCAGCAGGTGGTGGAGGTGGAGGGAGGAGAGGGAGTGAGCAGCATCAAGTGCAGCAAGCGCTGCTTGCAAGGATTCTCTGAAGCAAGAGAGAGGAACGACTGCAGGAAGGTGCTCTGATAGCTTGGGAGCCAGTGAGGACTCTGTGCCACCACTGCCTGCTGCAGCAATGAGGTGTGCATTACGTGTGACTGACACACTGCTGGCTGCAGCTGCTGCTTCTGCAGGAAGGTGCTCTGATACCTTGGGAGCCTGTGCGGACTCTGTGCCACCACTGCCTGCTGCAGCAATGAGGTGTGCATGATGTGTGAGTGGCGCACTGCTGCCTGCAGCAGGTGGTTCTGCAGTGGTATCACCACTGCCTGCAACAGTGCTTGCACCAGCACTAGCAGCAGCAGCACTAGAACCAGCAGCAGCAGAAACAGAAGCAGCAGTGGAAACATCACCAGAAACAGCATCAGCATCATAAGGAGCAACAACGTCGACCTCGGGAGCAGTGTCTTGAGAGAGTGAAGGGCGTGCAGGCAGGCGGGCAGGAGGGGTGGTGGGAGGCGAGGGCACAGGGGATGAGGGCGAGGGGATCGATAGAGGGTGGGGTGACATGGAGGGTTGGGAGAATGGTAGGGAGGGGGTGGCAGGAACAACAGAAGGACAGGGAAGCGTTGGATCCTGCTGCCTTTGTTCTTGCCGAGTTGTTTCCTGCTGCTGAGACGCAGGCAGTGCCACGTGCTGCTCGCCTGCAAACTCCTCCGCCAGCTCATCATGCTCACTGCTCTGCGTCCCACCGCCAGCTGTCAGCTGAGTCAGCAGAGAGGCCAGTGCAGAGCCGAACCAAATCCTGCCTTCCACTCGTGCCATCACCCCTCGGAGCACTCCCTCTTGCGCTCCCTCCTTCGTTGCTCCCACTTGCGCTCCCTCTGTTTTCAATTCCTTCACACCTGAGCCCTCTGTCAGCTCGTTCCCCGCTGTCTGCCATTCCTCTCTGCTGGAAGCATCACTGTCACCAGCAGCACCAACACCAGCGCCTGCTACCGCTGTGGCTTCTGCTGCTGCTGCTGCTGCTGCTGCTGCTGCTGCTGCTGCTGCTAGGCCAACAGCCGTCACCAACGCATACAGCCTTCCCTGGTTGCCACCTCCCCCGCCCACCCCTACCAGCACCCTCTCAATCTCCCTCACCACTCCCTTCTGCTTCTCCGCACCCTCTTCTTTCTCCGCCGCCTCCTCCATTTTTGCCTTCTTTTCTGAGTCTCGCTCGCCTCTCCTCTCGCCGCTCACCACTCTCCAGGCGTCCTCTACTGCCCTAACCAGCACCTGCCGTCGCTCCACCAATCGCTCCTCTCCACTCATGCCACTGCTGCCACTGCCACTGCTACTGCTGCTACCGCCACCACTACTGCCAGGGCCCTCCACCATCCCTTCACCTCCTCCTCCTCCTCCTCCTCCTGGCAGCGCCCACACGCGTCTCCCACCCCCCACACCGCCATCCACTCGCCCCATCCCATCCAGCACCTCTCTCGCAGCCCTCGCCTCGTCGCGCATCTCCCTCGCCCCCACCCCTGCTGGCAGCGCTCTCAGCCCCGCCGCTGTCACCGTGGCTTCCAGTGCGCGAGCCCACCGGCTCACAGCACTCGTGCTCAGGTACGAGTTGATGCATGCAGTTGCAGTGGGTAGCTTCTGAGGCGCCTCAACAGGCGCCCCCCGGCTCACAGCGCTCGTGCTCAGATACGAGTTAATGCAGACAGTTGCAGTGGGCAGGCGCGCTGCACCCGTGCTGCTGCTGCTGCCTATGTTCTCGTGTTCAGACGTCTCAAACGGCATCTCCTCCTCTCCATGCACGCTCGTGTTCTTCTCACCAGATGCTACTGTTCCCTGCGCCCTGCCTCTCCTCCTCCCGCCCGTCACCCCCACCCCGCCTGCCACCACCGCTGCCTCCCCGTACGCCCTCAGTGCGCCGACCAATCGCAGCACGGCACGGCAGCGCGCGGCCGCCAGCTGGCAGACGTGGAGGTCCAGCTGGCAACAGCTGGCACGCAGAGCCTCTGGGATAACGGCGAGGGGAAGCACTGCTGGCTGCTGCTGCCGGTTTTGCTGGTGAGGAGGAGCAGAGGAAGAGGGGGAGTTGGTGGTCGCGATATCCAAGAGAGAGAGTGCATTGGTAGTGAGAGGGGACGTCAGGGCGAGCAATGATGATGATGATGACGAGGTTGACAGGAGCAAGGGCAGGGCGATATCAGCACTGCCGTCCTGCCATGCCATGTTGGGGATGGCAGCAGCAGCCCACCGCTTCACATCCTCCCCCATCAGCCATCCAGCAGAACGGCCGCTGCCACTGCCACTCCCACTCCCACTCCCACTCCCACTCCCACTCCCACTCCCACCACTCTGAATAGGCGTCGAAACACCAGAGACAGCGACAGCTGGCAGCAAAGTTGGTGCCAGCTCAGCAAGCGCCGCCCGTTTGTCGTCCAACCACCGCCGAGCCTCGCCTACAGCATCCATGGCTGCAGCGGCCTTAGCTTCGGCACGCCGAGCCTTCCCCCGATGCTGGTCGCCGATGCGAGAGAGGGCTTCCATGGCTGCTCGCAGCCCATGCCTGGAAGCTTCCTCTTCCTTGAGAAGCTTCTTGGAGGATTCCTGTGCTGCTGCGAGGTCGGAGCGAGCCTGATTCTTGGATTCTGACGTCTCGATAAGGTGCTGACGTGGTGGAAAGGGATTGGACGAGAGATAGCAAACGGAAATGAGAACGCGAAATACATGAGGTGAGCCGAGAACTAAGAGCAAGGGAACGGCAAGGCTTAAAAAAAATACAACAACAGTATTTAGACGTCAAGAATGGAACTGTAGAAGTGCCAACAAGTTTTTAGACGTCTCAGAATGGAAGGGAACACCGCAGCAACACAATGAGACAGGTGCATGCCTTCCCTTCCATGTCCTCGGCACACCCACCCACCCACTCATTGCACATTGACTTGACTTGACTCGAGAACAATGCTCCAACATCGAAAAACTGAACCCCAGACCCCAAACCTAGACCCTGGTGCAACAGTGAATGAAGCGTCACAAGATGGAGATGGAAAAAAAGCGCATGTGAGTCAAACCTGAACAGAAGCAGCAGCTGACTTGGCGGCAACTGATAGGCTGAGAGCCAAAGTCTGCAGCACGCAAGAGAGAGGGCAGCACAGGAGAACACAGATGGAGGTGGAGGAGCATGTTTTCTAAGCACACCATGTGCTGTGCTCTTACCCATATTTTCAGGGGCTTTAAACTGTCTGTACAGCATAACGGGCAGCACGAAACACACACATGCAGAAATCCGTGTGCAGGCAAGAGAGTGGTGGGGCACAGAGGCACAGCGGTGCAGCTGAGGAGGGCCCGCGGGCAGCAGCAGGGAGGGCGGGTCGAGCAGACCAAGCACACGCACTTGACATTTGGATATGGGTAAAGACACGAGAACAAGTGACAACCGCGGTGGGGGTGTTAGGCGTACAAGGGAGAGGGGAGAGAGGGTGGAAGTAAGATGGGGAAAGGAGGGTGGAATGGAAGAAAGAACGGGGGAGGAAGGGTCTGAGGAAGGTGGAATCTGACCAGGAGGTAGGGACTGGTGGCGGGGGAGGAGGGGGAGGGGGAGGAGCGAGTCAAGGCATGTAGTGTCATGGCAGCACCAAGCATCGCCTCCATCGCCCCTCCCATTGCCCCTCCCTTGGCTGAGCGTGCAGCACTGCTGATGCTGCTGATGCCGTTGCTCTGCTGCCACCCTCCCCACATAGACCTCCCCCTGTGTGCGCCCAGAGCAGCAGCGCCTGTCACCACCTCCGCTTCCCACGGTAATAGTGCCCCCTCCCAGACACCGCCTGGCAGCACAGCGCGAGGTACAGTGGGAGCAGGAGCAGGCGCAGGAGCAGGCGCAGTGGGGGCAGCAGGAGCAAGAGGAGCAGGTTTGGGAGTGGCAGTGGCAGCAGCGGGGGCGAGCGGGCCTCCCCACTCGTCCAGAGGGTCCCAGAGGAACGCACTCATAAGTGCAGGCAGCAACGCCCCCCCTCCCGCTGCTGCTGCACTCCCCGTTCCTCCCCCCATCCCCACACGCTCTCTTCTTCCAAGCCTTGCTTTTTCCCCACTACCACCAGCAGCAGCAGCAGTCCCTTCCCATTCGCCCCCGATCCCGCCCCACTCGCCCCCACCCATCAACCCCCCACCCATAGCCTCAAACGCGGCCACAGCGGCAGAGGCGAAGGGCCCGGACGGGGAGAGAGCACCGGGCAGCCCCATGGCGCCTCTGAGCGTGGTGGTGAGGCGGAAGGGCACGAGCTCTGGCACCTTGAGCAGGCGGCCCCTGTCAAAGGCGACCGTGAAGTCTATGTGCACCACTGAGCCGGATGCAGAGGGTTGAGAAAGGGTGGAGGACGGTGGGGAGGCAGAGGAGAGGTCCCAGAGGATGTTGTCGAGGTGGCGGTCGCCGATACCGAGGATGTAGCCGGCTGTGCTGGTGACGGCTGTTGATGCTATGTAGCTGGTGGGGTGGGAGGGGAGGGAAGTGGGGGGGAGAGGAGGGCAGGTGAGAGGGAGCCTTGGACGGGGAGAGAGCACTGGCGCCTCTGAGCGTGGTGGTGAGGCGGAAGGGCACGAGCTCTGGCACCTTGAGCAGGCGGCCCCTGTCAAAGGCGACTGTGAAGTCTATGTGCACCACTGAGCCGGAGGCAGAGGGTTGAGAGAGGGTGGAGGACGGTGGGGAGGAGAGCGAGGAGGAGGGGGGGGAGGCGGAGGAGAGGGAGGAGGAGGAGGATGAGAGGTCCCAGAGGATGTTGTCGAGGTGGCGATCGCCGATACCGAGGATGTAGCCGGCTGTGCTAATGACGGCCGTTGATGTTATGTAGCTGGTAGTGGCGGGGGAGGGGAGGGGAGGGGAGAGAGGAGGGCATGTGAAGGAGTGAGATGGCCTAAACCCTGATCTCAGAAACCATACATTCTCCACCCCAGACCCTCAACCTAAACCCTAAAACCATCACCGTAACACCGTTTACACGTGTCCACCTCTTCCATCCCCTGACATCATCCCACTCACCGTTGCTGCTTGCCCCACCACCCCTCGGAGCCCGTCGTCGAGCTCCACATCTCCTTCGCCAGCAGCTGACGTGGCACCTCCCGCGCCAGCTCATCAAACACGCTGCGCTTCACGTCCGCCGGCCAATCAGAGCGCGGCGTGCTCCGGCTCATGCCTCTCGCCTGCAGCGCTGCTCCCACCTTGGCAAAAAACATCTCCGTGGGCCGCTGCACAGCTGGCACTGCTGCTGCTGCTGCTGGTGCTGCTCCTGCCGGCACTGCTGCTCCTCCTTTCCCTCCTGCACCACCACCTGCAGCACCACCAGCCGCACCAACCCCACCAGCAGTAGCGGCGGCAGCGGCAGCAGCAGCGGTGGCAGCAGCGGCCTGGCGGGACTGCCACGCCTTATACAGCGAGTACAGGCTGTGCAACCCCTCCAGCCATTGGATCATACCCGACTGACTCCCCGTCGGCACCACCTCATACTGCCTCACCGCCAGCTGTCGCTTCCTGGTTGGTCCGTGGCTCTGCATCAGCGCATTGGCCGCTTGGAAGAGCTGGGAAATCCGCGCGTCCAATCGGAGGTCCTCGCGGCCCTTGATCAGGAAGCTGCGATCCTGGCCGTCGGATCCGACGATCACGATGCGCTTGGGGCGGGTCTTGGTGCTGAGCACTTCGACCTTGTCTCTCACAGCAGCTACTGTCACTAGCCCTTCGTTATAAGCACATACATTAAGCAAAGCCCCAGTATCACTACTCCCTGTAGCGAATTTGCTAGTAACGGAGTTGGATAAACAACCAGGGACAGGGGCGGCAGTGTCCCTAAAAGCGGCGAATCCCGGCGCGACATCTGGCAGCGAGAGGTACCGCCGCTGCTCCCTCTGCAGCGCCGCTACAGCCGCCTCCAGCGGGCGGCATTTGTCTCGTAGTGCGCCACTGCTGACATCAGCAGGCGGGGACTGTAGCGCGGCTACAGCTGCAGCGATGAGAGGGCGGAGCTTGGGACGCAGATGGAGTTCCCGAGGGGAGAGGTAGGCCGCTAGGGGAGAGAGCGGGCTGCTGCTGGTGGGTGGGGTTGCTGCTGCTGCTGCTCCTGCGTCACCAGCACCAGCAGCAGCATCAGCTGCAGCGTCAGTAGCAGCAGCAGCAGCAGCGAGAGTGGCAGCATCAGCATCCCAGATGTGCAGTATCCCCTGCAGGCGCATCACCACTCCCGCCACTATCTCCCGATACTTGACTTGGAAGGCAGCTCGCACCTCCTGCACTGTGGGCACAAATGGCACCGATGGTGCACTGCTGCTGCCCCCATGCATGCTTGCAGCTGCGGCAGGAGCGGCGGCAGCAGCAAGTGCTGCCGAGATTGCAGGGACTGCAGACGCATGTGCTGGGACGGACATCAATGCCACAGGACTCACAACATCAGCACCGGCGCCGGCGGCAGCGGCGGTGGAAGCGACAGTAGCATCACCATCTAGCAGTGCGCCAGGCACTGCTGTGTCCACCACCCCCCTGCTATCATCATCATCATCATTGTCATCTTGAGCTAGCTCCTCCCTCTCCCTCTCTCCCTCCCCCTCGCCCACCCCTGTCTCTTGCCGCTCCTCCTCCTCTCTCCCTGCTTCTCCCTCCGTCCCCTCCCCCTCGCCTCCACTCCCCACAACCGTAATCGCAATCCCCGAAATCACTGGCGTTAAAAGGGGAGCGCCAGTCAACGCAACGCCATTCAAAGCAACACCCCCTCTACCAGAACCACCGCCACCAGCAGAAACCCCAGCAGCAGAAGCAGAGGCAGCAGCATGTGGCTGCCTTAGCCCCTGTCTCTGCCCCCCCAGACGCACATCAGCAGCGGCTGGGACGGCGGCAGCAGCGGCAGCAGCAGAAGCAGCGGAGGAGGCGGCGAGTTGGTGGCGGGTGGAGAGGAGGAGGGAGGAGAGGGAGCGGTGGAGGAGGGAGAGGCAGGACTGAAGGGAGGACAGCAGCCGCTCCTCTGGTAGCACTGCCAGACGATCCGCTGATGTCAGCAGCGCACGCGCTGATGTCACCATGGCGGGATGGTGGTGTTCCTGGAACCAAGGACAGGGGGGAATAAGGGATATGGGGGGAGAGGGGAACGAGAAGGATGGTGAAATAACGGGCGGTGTAAAGAGCATAAGGAGGGGGGATAAAGAGGAGCAGGGAGAAGGAGGAGGGAGGAGAGGGAGCGGTGGAGGAGGGAGAGGCAGGACTGAAGGGAGGACAGCAGCCGCTCCTCTGGTAGCACTGCCAGACGATCCGCTGATGTCAGCAGCGCGCGCGCCGATGTCACCATGGCGGGATGGTGGTGCTCCTGTGAGCGTGGGAGAGGGAATGAGGGAGAAATCGGGGGTTTATGTAGGACGGGGAGAAAGGGAGAATATTAGGTGGAACGGTTGGTTGGAAATGGGGAATAATAGAGATTAATCAGGGGGTTTTGGAGGTAGAGAGACACGGAACGGGCATGAGAAAGGGTAGGAGGAACGGCAGGAGGGAGCAGGTCTCTAAACGAGTACCAGGAAGGAGAGAGCGGTTCGCAGCTGATGCCATCCCGGTGTGGCTTGAGATAGTGCCACGTGCCATGCCAGGTCAGCTGCCACGTCATCAACAGCGACTGATGGATTACCAGCATTAACGGACGATGGGGCAGCAGCAGCACTTGCAGAACTGGCCAAGCTGGCTGAGAGAGGTGGAGGAGCAGAAGAAGGGGCGGCAGGAGAGGCGGCAGGAGGAGTAGGAGGAGTAGGAGGGCCGGTAGGAGGGGCGGCAGAAGGGGCGGCAGGAGGAGAGGTGGTAGGAGGAGGAGCAAGAGCAGGCAGGGAGGCGAGCGCAAGGCTGAGGTGCTGAAGGCGGTGCTTCTCAGCTGCACACAGCGGGTACACCACCAGGGACGGGGCCGCGCCGGCCAATGAGAGCAGGACACGTGTCAGCTGCAGCCTGACTGCCGTGCTGCGCTGCGCTGATATCGCCGCCAGGAGTTGGGGGAGAACGGGCTGTACGGAGCGAGAGGGAGGGGAGGTGGTTGTGGGTGGGAGAGAAGGGGGAAGAGAGGAGAATGCGGGACGTGAAAGTGAAACCTGGGAGTACACAAAGGGGTGCCACAGCAGGTAGCAAACTGGGCGCAGGTTAGCTCCTGGCAGGCAGGCAGTGCCCGCCCACCCGTCCCGTGCCAGTGCTGTTTTGAGTCGACTCAAAACTCCTGGCAGGCAGGCAGGCAGTGCCCGCCCGTGCCAGTGCTGCCATGAGCAGACAGACTCCATAGTTCTACTTTAAAATGTTCTACCCCACCCACTGTATGCACCACCATCTCCACACACACCTGCCAGGCGTGTGGGCATCCGACGTCCATGGGGGCGGCAACCACGGGCGGCATGTGCGAGCCGTGCTGCATGAGAATATCCACCACTCGCATCGCGACACATGTCAGCACTGCACTCCCGCCAGCCACGGTCTCCCCACCACACGAACCACCATCCTCCTCCGTCCTCCCCTCCCACCTGCGTTGCTTCGCACTACCCACCTCAACAGCCTCACGTCCCTTTTCCACCCCCTCCAACCGCTCCAAACCCTGCACAATCCCAGAGCACTCCCCGGACCATCCTTCCCTCCCGTTCATCGTGGATTCCCCCCTCCCCTTCTCCCTTGCGCTACTGGCACTCCCCTTGCTCCTCTTCCTGCTCTTCCTGCCACGTTCCTCCCCACACCTCCCACTATCTCCATACCTCCCACTATCTCCACACCTCCCAACGTCCCCTCCCCCATCAACCCTCACACCATCCCCTCCTCCTCCGCCCCAGCACCCCCCAGCCAGCTGCAGGAACCGCATGTATGCGCGGGCTGCCAGGTGTCGCGTTGACAGCGCTCGGAAACGGGCGGCACGCCAGGTGGCGAGCAGCTGATGCACCGCTTCTGCCACATCTGCTGCCGCTGCTGGCGTTGCCACCGCTGCCACAGCCGACGCAGCACCACCGCCAGCAGCAGCAGCATCCCCACTGTCCTCCTCACCACAATAACCCATCTGCTGATCTCCTCCTCCCAGCACAACTGTCAGCTCTGCACTCAGCTGCTGCAGCAGCTCCTGCCGCAAGCATTCCTCTACCTCACCACTCGCCCCCGACACACCTCCCACGCACCTCGCATCCAACCCACCATCCAACCCACCGTCCAACCCACCGTCCAACCCACCCGCCTCTACTGCACCCGCATCCCCTCTCCTGCCCGCCACAAGCGAACCATTAGGCCCCATGGCTTTGAAACGTGAGGGGGAAATGGAGAGGAGCTGGGGAAGAGTGTGGGAGATCGGGGTTGGGGCAGGAAGGGAAGGAGTGGTTGGTGGGGCTGGGAGAAGCAGGAACCGGTCCATGATGGTGAGACACGTGGCAGCCAGGGATTGGGCAGCTGGGAGCGCGGATGCTTGTGCTGCTTCTGCTTCCTCTGTTGCCGCTTCTGTCGCCTCATTGGTGGCTGATGCAGCAGCGACGGCAGCACTAGCAGCAGTATCAACAGCAACAACACCAGCAGCACCACCGCCAGCAGCACTAGCAGCATCACGTGCGGCCGGCTGCAAGTGTTTCAAAAGGTCGGTAACAGCGCACAGCACTACCTCCCTCTCTACCTCCGTGAACCCAGCAAGAACAGCCTCCGATGCACTACTTGTTGTAGCGTGCACCCCTTCACTAGCAGCAGCAGCAGCAACGGTTTCTGCAGCAGCAGCAGCAGCAGCAGGTGCTGCAGCAGTTGCACCAAAACCGGTCCCTAGAGGAGAGAGTGCAGGCGAGAGCGACAGAGTGTCTGGTAGCTGAAACGATGGTGGGGAGATGGCACCCTGCCCAGAGCTCAATGCACCCACGCCGGTCGTACCACCACCAGCAGCAGCAGCAGCAGCAGCAGCATCGGCACTGTAATCATCATCTAAGGAAGCAGGCAACGCTGCTAGCACATCCATCTCCTGCTCCTCCTCCTCCTCCCTAGCTGATGCGGCTGCTCGGTCTGACGTGGCACCATCATCATCGCCTTGCGCCACGTCAGCGTCTGACGTGGCAGCATGGCAGGGCATGCGTGTGTCAGCCATGCAGTCCAGCCACTGGGCGTATGCCAGCCAGGCTTGCGGCATCTGGCTGCATGTTCCCACTGCCGCCCAAACCGCCGCCCCTGCTACAGACAAAAGATCCAGCTTTGCCGGATTGGATTGAGACGCGGGATAAATTCGGCCGGCAGGATCGGACCGGGCGGCTGGATCTGATTCCGGACTCAGATTCGGTGGAATGGAATGGATGGTTCGGATTGAATCTTTGAAGGAGGATCCTGCGGCCATAGATACAGCATGCTGCTGTGACTGTACCCCGTGTGACAATAATGGCGGAGGGAGAACCAAAGCAGACTCATTCGCTGTGCTGGCCAAGAGCCAATCCAAGGCTGCCAGCTGTCCTTTTCCTGAAGTGCCCCCACCCCCATGGCTGAAGGAGCCGATGGGAAGCAGCCAGCTGGCGAGCTTGAGACACGCGTGGGCAGCGAGAGGTGTGCATTGAGGGGTGAGATGCACTGCTGCCATCGCTGAGACTGATGCTGATGCCAATGCTGTTGATGCTGCTGCTGCTGCAGATGGCATGTGAGAGTGAGCCATAGCCGGGCCACACACGGACCACATCCCTTCCACAGCATCCAGCTGTCGCCTATCAGCATGCGCCACCTCACACGCCTCTATCGCCCTCCACATCCCCACCTCTCCTCTCACCTCATCTTGTCTATCGCTTCTCCCTTTCTGATCTACCGGAGCTGTCACCGCACCGGATAGCAGCCGCTTCGCCAACCGCAGGTTCCCACCGAGCCTGGCCTGGCGAGCCAGATGCAGCCGAAGCACCGAGGCAGCTTCGGCATGCTGCGGCTGGGCAACCCGGCAGGCTCGGAGCACCCCAAGCCAAGAGGGCAGATCCCAGAGCAGCGAGCCAATGGCATCGTGACAGCTGGCAGACGAAGAACCTTCGCCTCCCAACCCACCGGAACCGAACAGGTTGTGTATGTGGTGGTGGTGGTGGTGCGTACAACTCCCATCCCCATGCTGTTGCAGTGTGCTGCGCTGCTTCTGTGTGCTGTACTGTTCTTGAGGCGCCTCAGAAGTGCTGTGCTGCTTCAATGTGTCCTGAAGGAGAGTGCACTCCAGTGCTGCTAGTGCCAGTGGCATGGCTGCTGCTGGATTAACAGGATAGCCCTCTGCAGATAGAGACAACAGAGGCCGACCCAGCGCTGACCTGGCAGATTCTAGCCCATCCAGAAGCAGCTTCATGGGCGGTTCCTTGGGGTTTGCAGCAACTCCTGCTGATGCAGTCGACCCTGCTTCTGGTGTCCCTGCTGCTGCTGATGAAGCTGCTGGTAACCCTGCTGCTCCTGCTCCTGCTGCTGCTGCTGCTGCTGGATGCAGGGATGGCTGAGCCGCTCTCCCCAAATACAGCATCGCGGCAATCGCATTGTGCCGGGCGAATCTAACGGCTGATAATACATCCAGGGATCGCACAGGAGCAGACAGCAGCGGCATCAGCAGAGGTGGGGCTTGGTGGGCTTCTCTTCCTGCCTCCGTGCTTCCAGCAACATGCCCGTTGAACGGGTTGGGGGGGGTGAGGAGGAGCGGGTCGAAGGATGCGAGGGAGAGAGCTGACGACAGGTCCTGCTGGAAGTGCAGGCATGCTGACGTGGCAGCTTCAGCTGATTGGCTGAGAGGATTGGCCTGCGACTTATCAAGGCCGGTGGGTTTAGGGGTTGACAGGGATGGGACGGTGGGGAAGTGGGGGGGGGACACAGGGACGACAGAAAACAGGAGAGAGTGAGGGAATGGGCAGAATCAGAGGAGGAAAGAGTAAGATATTGGTACAAGGGAAGGGTAAGCTGAGGAGGCGGTGCGTGACCTAATGTGACCAGGTGAAGGTCAGACAGACGTATCATCCAAAAATGCAAACGACATTATTGAACATCCCAAAAGTGAGGGTTTTTTTCCGAACGCTAGAGTGCCAAGGACCTGAGTGAAAATGCTAAGAGTGCAGACGACCCAGTGAGCATGCAGAAACCAGTACAGAGCACCCAGCAGCACCCAGCAGCACCCAGCAGCACCCAGCAGCACCCAGCAGCACCTTGAGGAACGCCTGCAGCTGCTCCAAGTCCCCCACAGCGCTGTACACGTCTATCAGCCGCGCACCCACAACAGACCCCTCGCCCTCCTCCTCTCCGCCTCCCTCTCCCCTTCCCCCTCTTTCCGATTCCTCTGCTCCTAACTGCCCCACTCGCCCCAACCCACTCTTCTCCACCATCCCCATCGCCTTTGTTCCTCTTACCCCACCATCACCACCACCCCCAGCACCAGCACTGCCACTATCACCAACCCTTCCTGTCTCCATCACCCCTCTGTAATGCTCGGCAGCTTCCTCGAACCTTCCATCTGCCTCCAGCTCCATCCCCTTTAGAAGCCACACATGTTTCTGTAAAAGCTCTGCTGCTGATGATGCTGCGGCAACAGCTGCACCTGCATTCACAGCAGTAACACCAGCTGCAGCAACACTAGCAGAGGCAGGAGGGTGCGGCAGCGACCGCACGAGCACCTGCAGCCACTCCCTCAGGCCAGCAATCGCGTCTGCATTGCGGGACTGGCACAGACCGGACGCCAGGTGGCGCACTGCGTGAGCGACATCTGTCGCTGAGCTGGCCCACCCTTGCTGCTGCTGCAACTGCTGCAGCAGCTGCTGTCGCTGCCGCCGCTCCCCCTGCCCATCCCCATCCCCCTCCTCATCCCCTTCTTCATCCCCTTCCCCATCCCCGTCCCACTCCCAATCCCACTCGCTCACTTCCAAAGGGCACTTCAGTTCCCCGAGTTTCTTCCCTGCATGGAAAACCACAGCCCCAGTCCGCCCCACCCCCAGGGCCAAATGCACCAACCCTTCCCTGAACCTTCCGAACCACTCCTCGCACACGCGCCTGTTGGCTCGGAAAAACCCGAGGCTGTTAGGGTTGGAAGGGGGGGAGGTGAAGGAATTTCCTTCCGTTGCTGACTGGACCTGCCGTTCTAGAGCTTCCATGAAATCAAGAAGCGAGATCAGCGCCAGCTCGTGCTGACGTGGCGCGTCGGGGTCGAGTGCCAGGTCAGCACCAGTGCAGATGGGAGGGGGAGGTGTGGGGAGGTTGGGCGGGGGAGGGGGAGAGGCGGAGGTGGAGAGGGAGGGGGAGGCGGAGGATGAGGAGAGGAGAGTGAAAGAGGAGGTGGATGGGGCTGGGAAGGAGGAGAGGGAGGGAGCAGGGAAAAACGAGAGAGAGGGAGAGGAAGAGAGGGGCAGTTGAGAGGATGAAGCTGAGGAAACACTCCCATATCCACCTGCCAAACCAGCTCCGCCCGAACCTGCTGAGCTGGTTCGGCCCAAAGCTGACGACGAGGCTTCTTTCCCTCCTCCTCCTCCTCGTGTCCCTCTCTTCCCTGGCACCACCACCAGCACCCCTTTGGGCAGCAGGGGCAGGCGGGCGACAGTCGGAGTGGTGGCGTCAGAGAGAGTCCGTTCAAAGGCTGCAAACGTGGCAGATGCTCCCCCGTAATGCGTGCGCAGCCGCCCGCTCATGCACTGCCGCGCTGCCAGCTGGACCAGCCACCTAAGCGCCAGCTCACCGTTCATCGTCGCCAGCTGGCGCCAGCTGTCCAGCTCTCTAGTTGTTGCTTCTGCTTCAGATGATGCTGACGTGGTTTGAGAAGAAGCAGTAGGAGGTGAGGGGAGAGAGGAAGTGGAGGGAGGAGAGGATGGGAGGGTGAGCAGAATCCGCAGGAGCCATTCAGAGTGCGGCGGCGGTGCTGACGTGGACTGCTTGCGGGACAGCAGGTTGAGAACCCCCACCAGCTGATGTGGCTTGAGCGGCAAATCACCTGACGCTGATGCCAGGTGGACTGGCAATTCACCTGAAGCTGCGGCTTTCAGGAGCCACATTTCACCTGACGAAGGCCCACGGAGAATCTCAGGAGGTTCAGAAACGAGTGACGGAGCGGAGAGTGAGAGAAGACGAGAGGTGAGAGGAAGGGGAGTGGGAGAGAGGGGATGGAGAGGAGGGACTGGGAGAGGACGAGGGATGGTGGGAGAGACAGCAGCAGATAGCAACGCTTTCTGAAGCAACTCCTGCATTGCCTTGCGGACGGCACTATCGTGATCACCGCCCGCCTGGAACAGCGCCACTTGCGCTACAGACAAAGCTTGCCGGCCGAAGAGCGTCCCTGTGGCTGCGAGAAGCGACAAGCTGCCAGCTGCTGCCAGCCGGATGGAGGAAGACGGGTGGAGGAGAGAGGAGGTGAGAGAGAGGAGGAGGCGAGGAGGGATGATGGAGTGGAGTGGCGGCAGTGTGAATGCTGCACTTTGTGTTGCTGCTCCTGCTGCTGCTGCAGGTGCTTTTGTGGCTGCTGACTCAGCCAATGCTGACTCAGCCAATGCTGACTCAGATATCTGTCGGACCCATGCCAGAGCCTCCAGCTTCAGACCGGCACAGGCCTCGCCCTCCTGCAATGCCCACGCCACGTCACGCCAGCTAAGCGCCAGCTCAGCAAGCACAAGAGCAGCTGCAGATGAACCTGTGGTGCTGCTCCTGATTCTCCTCCCAAAAGGAGTCTTGTCAGTGCCATCCTTAGCACCGTCCTCAGCACTTTCACTCTTTAATCTCTCAGAACTAGCACTGCCAGCGGCAGCTGTAACAGGTGCCCCCGGGACGTCACAAGGGGAGATGTTTCCAGCAGTAGCGCCTGTGACAGTAACGAATGTGCTTGTGGTAGTCATCACACCGAACCCCAACAGCATGCGCTCGCCTCGGAACGCAGCCTGAGAGGCGGCCCTGAGCCCGTGAAACGCCGCCACCTGGCAGCGCGGGAGTGGCCAGAGGCGGTGGGTCCAGCGGCGATAGTCTGTGCCAAGGGCACGGAGCAGCGAGGAGATGCCTGCTGCCATGTGCTGCACTGTTGGTGGTGCTGCTCTTGCTGGTGATGTTGATGATGGGATGGCAGAGCGAGGAACAGCCCCTTCTGTTGTTCCTCCTGCTGTTTCTGCTCTTGGTACTGCTGCCGCTCTTGCTACTGCTGCTGCAGCTACACGTATGCTGTCAGCACACAGCAGCGCGCCATGGATCACTCCCGAGGAGAGAGCCACCAGGTCAAACCGCAGGAGCGCCTCCGCTTCCTCCTCCGTCCAATCCCAGTCCGACACGTCAGCAGACGGCGACAGGTCAGCCCCGTGCTGCCTGCACCAGCCTTCCAACGCGGAATTCCCATCAAAGAGGGTACGATACCCCAGTGGCCGCACAACCCTTCTCCTCTTCCTCCGCTGCTTCACTGCCCCTCCCCCCCCCTCACTGGTAACCCCATCAGTAAATCCACCTGCAAGCCCACCGGTAACCTGGTTACCAGAGCTGCTACAGTGTGTGGTGGGAGTGGCACAGCGGTAGCAGTCACGCATCTCTGCCAGCAGGAAGGAGAGCGGCACTGACAGGGAGGTGAAGCAGGTGGTGGGTATCTGTGTGCGATGTGTACGGGGCAGGGAAGGTGTGAGGGGAGGTGGGTGCGCGCTGAGGGGGAGAGTGAGAGGAGGGAAGGCGAGGAGCGAGAGGAGGGTGTCGGCAGCAGCGGAGGCGACAGCAGGGTGGGGGTGCAGGCGGAGGAGCGGGAGCGGGGCGTAGGGGCGGGCGAAGAGCAGCGCGGAGAAGGCTGCAGCCAGGGGGTCTGCTGATAAGGAACTTCTGGGAGGGGAATTATTCCCATATCTTCCCTTCCCCTCAACGGAAAGATTTTTCCCATCTCCTCCCTTCCCGTCTCCAACCAAGTTCTCTGGCTTCTCATCTTCCCTACCCTGCTGCTGGTGCTGCTGCTGCTGATCTCTCTGGTCTAAAGCGTTGGACTCGACAGGTGCCACCTCCCCCAGTTTAGCCTGCAGCTCCGTCACACAGAGTCCGCGCAGCGAATCAAGCGCTGCCAGGTGGCAGCGCAGCACGGCCGCGAGGGCGGGCGGCGGGAAGAGGCGCGTGCTGGCGACGGCGTTCAGGAGCGGCGCGACAGCTGGCACGTAGAAGCTGCTCAGAAACTGCCCAACAGGAGAGAAACAGCGGTGCGGCAGAAAAAACACCTCTTCATGCTGCTGCTGCTGCTGGTTCTTCTGCTGTTCCTTCTCTTTCCAGGGGTACTGCACGTGGTTACCACCACCACGGGCACAGAGCGACTTTTGAGGCACCTCAAAAGAAAACACCTCTCCGTGCTGCTGCTGCTTCTGCTGTTCCTTCTCTTTCCACGGGTACTGCAGGTGGTTACCACCACCACGGGCACAGAGCGACTTTTGAGTCGACTCAAAAGTCACCTGGTTACCACCACGGGCACAGAGCGCCCAGACAAAGACAGGCAGCACCGCCCACCACTCCGCCACCCACGCCACCCGTGCCACGCCCGCTCTCCCTACTGGCACCCTCCTCACCTGCCCTCCCCCTCCTGCTGCTCCCCCGCTTGCTACCCCACCTTCTGCTGCTGCCCTCGGCCCCCCTGCTGCCACTGGCACTGCTTTCCCACCATCTCCTCCCTCCACCTGAGAATCCACCTGAATGTCCACCTGCAGGAGATCTCTCAGCAGCACCAGCCAGCGCCGGAACAGACCCTCCAACGGAACCACCTGCCGCCATGAATCATCCTCTCTCCCAGCCCCATTCCCGCGCCTAACTGCTGCATCCCCAATAACCGCGCCAGTCACACTTCCCCCAATAGCCCCGCTATAAGTGCTGGCACTAGGGACGCCTCGCCAGCCTGTCACGCCGCCCAGAACGGCGCTAAAAGACAAAGTCAGTGCGGCCAAGCGAGCATCTGAAGCGTCTGCCTCTACTGCCGCTGCTGCTGCTGCTGCTGCCCTACTCCTTCCCCCCACACCGCCACTACTGCCCGAACCCCCCACACTCCCAGAAGCACCAGCAGCACCACCAGCAGAACCGCTATCACCCGCCGCTGCTTTCACCTCTGTCTCAATATCCCCCACCAGTTTCAGCAGCACGTTTCGAGTGAACGTTCCTTTTTCCCGCCACTGCCGGCCGAACCGCAAGAAGCAGTCACCGATAAGCTGCCGGCTAGCCGGCAGAACTGACGGCTCCATGGCCCATCCCAGCAGCAGGTCGATAATCTCCTCAAACTGCTGCAGGAAGGTTCCGGGAAAGCGCTCTGCGACAGCGACGAGGACGGAGAGGATGGGCGGGAGGAGCGTGGGCGGCGTTCCCTCGTCCTCTAGCAAGCCCTGACAGGCCTGCACACAGCTGGAGACATATGGCTCTGATGCTGCTGCTGCTGCCGCTGCCGCTGCTGCTGCAGTTGCTGCTGCTGCTGCTGCCGCTCCTGCTCCTGCTCCTCCACCTCCTGTTGCTGCTGCTGCAGCACTTGTTGTGGTTGCAGGAGCACCTGTTGCTGAGCTCAGCTCAGCTTCGGGCGGCAAAGGCGCGGGTGCCAGCTGGCAGAACGGAGCAGCTGCCAGCAGCGCGAGGCGCGTGTTTGCCACGTCAGCATTGGGATCTGTGAGCTGGGGGAGGGCCCACGCAAAGAGGCGCTCCGCTCCTGACAGGGAGATGGGAGAGACGATGGGGGGAAAGGGGTTTTAGAGGGGATGAGTGGGGAATGGGGTGGGGGGGTGGGGAGTAGGGAAAGGGCAATGAGGACTGGGGAAAGGAGAGGGGTGTGGAAAGTGATGAATGGGGAGTGGGGCGTGGGGAGTGGGGAGTGGGGAGTGGGGAGTGGGGCGTGGGGAGTGGGGAGTGGGGAGCGGGGCGTGGGGAGTGGGGAGTGGGGAGTGGGGCGTGGGGAGTGGGGAGTGGGGATCAGACAAGCACATTCTGAGGAGTTTATAATGACAAGATGTGCATTCAGTGTTGCAGGCTTGCAGGCATCAATGCAACTGCGGTGGTGTCCCATGCCAGGGGCTGTGATGCTGTTAGGCAAGGCAAGGCACACCCAGTAGTAGTAGTGTGAGTGAGTGAGACTCACGTTGTGAACAAAACGCCCAATCAGCCACCCATCCCAATCAGCCACCCAACCCAATCAGCCACCCAACCCAATCAGCCACCCAACCCAATCAGCCGCCCAATCAGCCGTCCAATCAGCCGCCCAATCAGCCGCCCAATCAGCCGCCCTATGACCAGGCCCCCTCACCACCCCTACGCACAAAACCCTCTCCCGCACCTGCGAATGAGACGGCGACAGCTGGCGGCGCTGCAGCGGCTGGAGAGAGAGGGATCGTTTCGGACGGGAGGCGCACGGCCGCTGCAACCCCGATGGCAGACGCGGCTGCTGATTGGATGACCGCGTCCCTGACAGGTCGTGGGGGGGAGGGGAGGGACGTGGGGGGGAGGGGAGGGACGAGGTGATTGGATGACCGCATCCCTGACAGGACGTGGGGGGGACGTGGGGGGGATGTGGGGGGGAGGGGAGGGACGAGGTGATTGGATGACGTGGCTGCTGATTGGATGACCGCATCCCTGACAGGACGTGGTGGGGAGGAGGAGGGACGAGGTGGGTGGAGAGGGTGGGAAGGGGGGAGAGGGGGGGTTTGGTGGCTGTCAACTCCTGTTAGAAGCACACATGTATGACATCACCCCTGCTAGAAGCGCACCTGTGTGACGTCACCCCTACTAGAAGCTCACCTGTGTGACGTCACCTCCTGCTATTAGCACACCTGTGTGCGAGCAGCCGTTCTAGCAGCATCCAGATGCGACCGGCTGTGGACTCCCAGGCGAGCAGCTGAGGGGCCAAGGGCGACTGGAGAAGCGACGCCACTCGGCTTATATGCTGCACCTGAGGCAGTTAATAACGGGGATGCAATGGAAGTGAGTGGGACTTGAAGAGAGAAAGTTGGATGCGCTAAAAGGATGCAATGATGAATCTGAAGCAGGTTCAAAGTGGGTTACAAAGCGGAATAAAGACGCACAATACAATACCCCAAACTTCAAGCATTCTTAGGAGACAAATGACAATAAAAGAGAGACGTCTCTTAACCTCGCTATTGAGCAAACTTCGTAAAGCCCACCTCCTGGGGCAATCCATCGCCGCCAGCTGTCGAGAAACGGCTGGCTCCAGAATCGCTGGCCGCTCCGCGCAACGCCACGTCAGCGCCGATTCCCTCCGCTGCCTCCTCTAGCCACCGCACAGCCCGCGCGCCAGCCTCCGCAACGGCGGGGTTCACGGGGGCTGGCGGAGGGGGAGGCGGGGGAGGTGCCGCTGGGGGAGCTTGCGCAACAGGCGGTTGCGCGGAAGAATGCTGCGTATACGGCGACCTGCCTCCGCGCGGGCCCCTAGCTGCGCCACCGCCTCCCCCCGTGTACCCGTGTCCGCCATAACCGCTGCTTCCGCCGCCGCTAGTGTAGCCCTGTCCGCCACCATAGCCGTGTGCGCCAGCGGGCGCGGTGGATCCCGCGCGACGCGGACCATAAGGCGGGGGACCTGGATGCCTGCGCATCGCTAGCTAAAGATAGTCGAAAAGGATCCTACCGCTCCGCATATACTGCTCATGACTGATGAACTACTCAGGCCGTCGATCTAGTAGAGAGTAAAAGCAGGACGGTACAGGATATTTGCTTGGTCAGTCACTTAGTACTAAGTGGAACTGCCTATCCCCGTTTGGATCAAAGCTTCCACCACATACCTTTATATATAAACAAAACAAAAAACTCATCGTTCTAGTTGATAGTGATTACTTTTTTATATCAATAATTTAAAATTTTTAGACATTCAAAGGGGACACACTAGCTAAGTGACCTAGTTACAGTTAGGTCATGAACACACCACCACACCATTCATTACTTCTTTGAACACATCGTGGTGTTTGTCTATTTATACATGAAGTAATTGAAGGAAAGAAATACAGGTGTTTATAATGGATAGGTATTTGGTTAATTTGATATTGAGTGCAACTGCCAACTTATTCACGAGTATATTATATATACGATTCTTTTCCAAAGCGTGTATTCAGTCACTTCTTTTATCCGTCCCATGATTATATCCTAGAATCAGCAGCATGACCACAGCTTTTCACCTGGTATTCTGTTCAGCCCAACTATGTAGTCCCAGCGTCCTTCCTTGGTGAGTTGCTAGTATTCGTCGCCATGGAGCGTGGACGAAGACCCGCCATTGCCTTAGGCCAGCTGCTATTACGATGGTCTTCGTCGGGCCGACGCGCTCAAACCGTAGGCGAAACAGCTGGGAGAAATCAGCGGGCCTTTTCAGCTTGCGCGTCTGATCTAGAACGCTCGGGGCCTTGTCTACCCGATCTTCATCACAATGGGTTTCCCGCCGTCCGATTGCGTGATCTCTGGCAGGAACGGACCATTAGGAATTATTCCCTACAAGAAGGTTTCAAGTTCGAACCTGGCAGTGCCTTTGTTTCATACCAACCTGGTTTTGCTGCAAGACCCGTTCCGCTAGGTTTTCTGGTGCCAGATTCCACAGCCGCTTCGCTTAGTATTCCAGCTCTTTCCGTTCCTTCTGCTTCTCACGCGAGAGACGATCTGCACGAGGGTCCGGGGTATGGGAGCGCGGTGCCGCTACTGGCCAGCAGCGTGAAGCGGAAACGGCGGAAGAAGATGAACAAACACAAGGAGAAGAAGCGACGGAGACGGGACAAGAACAAGCGGTAATGCGTCTGTCTGAAGTTAACTCCAGACCCTTGGACCCGAGGACTCGTGGTAGGTATGTGAAGCGCTAGCCCTTGCGTTGCTAAACGAGACGAATTATAGGCAAATGTCAGATTCCAAAGCCACTGCTGGCGACTGGGCTTGCAAGTTGCTTCTTAACTTCCTGATTCATTGTCTCTCATGAAAGCTTGTCCACAGATAATGATTGCCTCGCTGAAAAGGAGTTTGGATACGGTAGCTTCGCTTGGGAGCATTCTAAGACACCCTACACTATATGGACCCTCAACAAGTTTCTCATTACCCTCATGCAGTCAGAAGAAGTCTCGGATTTAGTCATGTAAGAATCTAAGAAGATATCTTGCATCCCGCTGCTGGTTGGTTTGTAAGAATCTGGCTTCGATTTTGCAGGTTAAGCATGAAAAGGGATGCTGGCAACTGAGCAGCAGTCCATGCTGTTGAATAGGTAAGGGTGCATGCGCTCAACCTCACGATGTGACCTCAACAACACCAGATCAGATACCATGCCTTAGCCATGCCACCAATTACATTCAGCAGCAGACCTACCGTATGGTAGCTGATTCAGCCAAGAGCAGTCATCACATCAAGCATGTACCATAATTAGCTGATCCATAAACCATACTGTGTCTCACTCAACCATGTACCTCTAGATTGGTTTTGGGGCACGCTGAAAAATCAAAGTCAGTCACAAGATTTTACGCTGGAAAACAGCCAAACACAGCCAAACCCCCCATTTTTACACTAGGAAAATACTGGTTTTTCTTGAAAAATGACTGGAAATTCAGCCATGGGTCAGAAACAAACGCTGAAAAAGGCTGAATCAGCGGAAAAATGCTGCAATCTGATAGCGTATTCCTACGGCCTCATATCAGGCCACCTCGTATCAAGATTGTACATGGTAAAACTAGCGCGAGGTTTCGGGTTTAGGGGAATTTTCAGTGTGTGCTTGATATGAGGTTCGCTTGATACGAGGTTAGGAATACGCTCTGAGGGTCGACAACCGTCTAGTGTTGGGCAGTGTACCGTATCACCCATTGAATGTCATGTGGTCATCTGGGTCGGTCAATGTTCTCAGCAACGCCATCATCGCCAGCGCATTCTCACTGCCTCCATTCTGCTCCTCACGAAGCGAATGCTACTGCTGCCCGCTGCCAACATCACATCCAAATCCACCCGATTGTGAAAGAGAAGCTGCTTGGCCCCTGCCGTAAAAACTACACCCGTTCTCGCCCATGGTAATCTCCCCAGCAGAACCTGCACCTGTAGATGCTCCTACGGTTCCCGCAGTGACAGCAGCAAGCATGGCCGCATCCAAATCCTGCTCATCCATTGCATCCTGTATCTGTTTCTGCAGCGAATCAGGGCTGTGGTGAAAGACACTCGGCAGGTCTGAAGATGCGAACCGAAAGTTTCCCTCGCCAACCGTTGCAGCATCTGCAGCGTAAGAGCCAGTCTGATTATTGAAGAAGCAGCTAGATCCTGCCCCATTCGCCCTGCGTCGATCCATTGGCGAGAAGGCATGTCCCAAGCCTGCATCAGCTGACCGGGTTTGATTTACTGCAGAGCTCACCCATGGTTCCCCGCTCCCCTGCTCATCACTCACCTTCACATGCGATAGCGCCTCAATGAGCCTCGTCAAATCCCCCTGCTGCAGCAAGCCGGACAGTGCTGCTGCTGTTGCTGTTCCTGCTGCTGTTCCCGTCCCTTGTGTTAAGAACTGTAGTTTGAAACCTTGGTCTGCAAGGGGCTCTCCTGGTTGCGGCACAAACACACTACCCTCCCCAGCCCCAGCAGCTTCCCTCTCCTTCCCTCTGTAATCCTCCTCAGACACCAGAAGGGGGCTCACATTTGTGGCAGTGTGCTGCTGCCTGCTCACCCCACCCGCTGCTGCTGAAGCCGATCCATTACTGAAAGCAAACAAGTTGCCAGTTTTAGCCTGTTCCTGCAGCTGCCTCTGAAGCTCGGAAAAGGCTGCTTCTGCGCTCATACTGGCGCCGATTACACTGGAGTCAGAGAGCTGAAAAGTCCCGCTTCCAAATCCAAACCCCCCCCCGTCGTCAGCCGTGGGAGCCAATGGTAGCAACGGGGACGAAACGCGCAGAGAACCTGAGTTATCCTCAGAAATCCGCAGCCTTGGTTGCACGTGTGGAGGCTGCAAGCCAACAGCTTGTGGAGGAGGATGCATGCCTGACGGCGATGCCAGCGGTGGTGGTGCTGCCGCAGCAGCAACAACAACAGCAGCAGCAGCAGCATCGGCTGCAGAAGATGCCGCAGGGGCTGTTACCGACCGCGACATTCGCCGGGGCGGGGGCAGTAGCTGCTGCGACGCGGCATCTCCTGGCCTCTTATTCCCCACCACTGGTGGCTTCTGGTGTGCGGAGGGCAGGCGGAAAGTGCTGAGCTGAGACAGCGGGGACACGGGCCTGGGGCAAGAGGTGGGAGCAAGGGGAGAAAGCGGGCGGGAGGGTGTGGAGCCGCTGGTGGGTCTGATGGCTGTTGCACCGGGTAGCAGTGCCTGCGGGTGTGGCGCACTCAACGTGCGCCCGTGGGTACGCTGTAAGCCGCTGTTAGGCTGCTGCTGCTGCTGCTGCTGCTGCTGATGCTGCTGCTGGCCGCCAAAGCCGCCACTGCTGCTGCGGGCATGGCCGGAGAGGCGGGCAGCACGGCTGGCCTGAATGGTGCTCATGTCAGGCAGGCGCAGGAACTCCGAGAAGGACGGCTCTCGGTAGTGCTGCGACGACGGGTTTAGAGCAGAGGGGTTCCGGGACGAGGGGGTGAGAGCCAAGGGGTTCCGGGAAGAGGGCGTGAGAGCCGAGGGGGTGAGAGCCAAGGGATTCCGGGAAGTGGGGGTGAGGGATGAGGGGGTTAAAGCAGGAGACGAGGATGATCCAGGGGTCAAGCCGGCAGGGGAGATGGCAGGGGAGGATGCGGATGCAGTGAAGGACGAGGGCGTGAGGGCTGCCCCAGGGTCGTCAGTGCATGGTGTCACGGGTGCCTCTGCCTGCCCCTGCTGCTGCGGGAACTGATCCAGCTGCGCTTCCAGGTGTTGGAGCAGCAACTGCTGCCGCCTCCACTGCTGCTGCTGCTGCTGCTGCTGGTGTTGGTTCTGCTGCTGCTGCTGTAGCCGTTCCTGTTCTTGTTTCTGTTTCTGTCTCCGCTCTGCCTGCCTCTTTAGCAGCTGATGCAGCTCCTGCAGTTGCAGCAACTGCAGCTCCCCTGCATCATCACAGTCCTGCTCCATCATACCCCACCCCACCGCTCCCTCTTCCATCTCCACCCCTTCCCCTTCCCCCTGCCACAGCTCCGCATCCCCCATCCCACCATCAAAACCTGCCCCAGAACCCCCAAACCCCTGCCCCGCAGCCCACGGCTGGGACCCCTGCTGCTCCTGACCTGGCGGCCAGGTGCTGACTTGGCAGTTGACGCTCGTGCCACGTGGCGAGGAGATGGCGGCAGAGGGGGAGAAATACTCGGCAGGGGAGGAGGCAGGGCGGGGGATGAACAGAGGCGGAGGGGCGGGGAGTCGGCCCTCAGGCGGGCACGAAAGGGCGGGCCGGGGAGGGGAGACCAAACCGCCCTGAACCGCATTCAAAAGCTGTTGCTGCTGGTGCTGAACCCCATGCGGCTGGTGCAGGTGCAGCCCCCCAGGAGATTCCAACAGAGGGCTGTGCAGCCCCCCAGGAGAATCCAACAGAGGGCTGTGCACTCCCCCTTGTGCCTCACGCACAGCGGCGCGTGGCGCTACTAGTCCCGGCCCTTGTGCTTCGCACATGGGTCGCTGTGCTGGTGCTGGTGCTGCCCCGTGTGCTTCATGCACAGGGTTGGGGGTTCTCGGGGAGGCGCCCTGGCGCGACTGCGCGGCCAGCAGGTGCGCAAGAATGGCTGCCGCCGTCAGCTGCTGCTGGCTCTGCGCGGAGGGCCCCGCAGTGGCGGAAGGCGCACCAGCGCCAGGGGAGGCGGATGGTACGCCAGGGGAGCCCAGCGCGGATGGTACGCCAAAGCGTGTCCCTGTGTGAACTGAAGGCCCTGTAGCATGTGGAGAGAATTGCGTTGACCCAGAGGCTGACGTCATGCTGGAGGGTGACGAGGCAGCAGATGAGCGGTACGAGGGGTAGGAGGCGCAGTGAGGGTACGCCGCAGCGACGGCAGATGCGGGGGAGAGCAGAGGGCCGGTGTGCATGGGGGAGTGGAGATCCCGAGGGGAGGGAGCAGACGAGGGGCGGGGGGTGAGGGAGGCGGATCCGGAGCCGGGTGACACCACAGGTGACGTCAGCAAGTTGACTAGCGATTCCAGAAGCTGATGTTCCCTCTCTGCTGCGACCGCCCTGCTGCTACCGCCGATGCTGCCGCCACCGTTGCCACCGACAACGCTTGACGCACAAGCGCGCTCGTTAACGAGCACCCGTTGATAGGTGGCGGCAGTGGCGGCATTGGTAGCGGCGGCGGTGGCGTCAGCTCTGCCTCTCGAGCCTTCTACTGGCGCGTTTGTATTGCCTGCAGCGGCGGACGCGGCGGCGGCTTCGCGGAGAACGGCCGCGAGAACCTCAAGTTCCGCTAGACTGTAAGGCAGCCTTCCCCCGAGGCCTGCGGGAATCCCCGCCTGATTTCCCCCCTCTCCCCCGCCGCTTCCGCCTCCAGGCTGAAACCCAGTAGCAGCAGCTTGCGCCCCGCTTCCGCCTCCGCCAGCAGATGCGGCGGAGACTCCGCCTGCAAGCGCGGATCCGATGACGTCATCGGGCAGGTAGAGCCTGAGGCGATCCGCGGCGTGGCGGCTGCTTCTGGGGCCGGCTGCGCCGGCGGAAGACGCCTGCGCGGCGGTCGCGCCTGCGGAAGCGGGCTGCGCAGCACCGGCGGAAGGGGAAGGGTTCTGCGACGGTGCTGCGAGTGGTTGCGGCGGGCGGTGAAGCGGCGGCGGATGGTTGTGCTCGCCGAAGAAGGAGATTCGAAGCGGGAACTTGGAGTCGTGCTTGTGGAAATCGACCACTCGCCGCGCGCGACACTCGGTTGGTTGGCGAAAGTGACTACAGCGATAGTAGTGCCTGATAGAGGAACATAAGGGGGGGAACAGGAAACGCGGACAGGAAGCAGGGAAAGCAACATGAGTTACTGGAAGAAACTCGAATCTGACAAAACCGAGACAGTCGAGTTCACGAAACTAGGGTTTCCCATCATTCCCACCAAGGGCGTGTACAGTCGAACTCAAACCCACGCCGAACTCGACCGAACCTGTCGCCAACGGAAACTTGCACGGCCGCGTTTCAACAAACCAAGCAAGCAGCTGTGCGGAATTTGTCGGACCGAAACTTCGCGAACCGGAAACTCCCAGGGTGGAGACGACACGCCATTGTTCAAAACAAAAACCCGCACTCGAGTGGACAACCCCAACGCAAACCGTCCGTCGAGCTGGAAAGCTGGAACTCACCCTTCTTCTCAGCAATGTTGAAATGCCACCCTTGCACACCCACCCACCTCACGCAGAAACGAACATTTCTTTGAATTAGCTGCTCACCTGCCGTGAGTGCCACCCGTGAGCTGCTTCTGGCCGTACTTGAGCCACATGTATCCGTCGCGCGGTATCCGCCGCTTCAGCAGAGCCAGCCGTTGCCTCGCCGCGCGACGTCTGTTCGTAGTAGGAGGTAGGAGTAAACGCGGAGTTAGGGGTTTTAGCTCGGAAGAGAAAATACGGAATTCTCAAACTTCTAGTAGGGTTATCCGTCACGCCGGATGTCGAATTTTTATAATTTCCATTTCGTGCAGTGAAACACTCCGGCAAACGCGGGCACAAGATTCGACATTTTGCAAAGCACGAACGAACGTACTGGGACATTGGTGGCTGTCCCGCCGCCGCAACCGTGGTGGTACCAATTTCCGCCACTTCCGCCGTGACTGACGGACGGTTTCCCGAGGGCACGCTGCACTGACGACGCGGCTCACTGGAATCGTCCAGCCTGCGAGGTTCCATATTAAGGCCGTCAGGCGCCTCCACAGCTTGACTGCCGCAGGACTCCTTTTCCTGTCTTAGAGACGGACTTCTCGCCGAGTAAGTACTGCCATCATCAGCAGCAGCAGCAATAGTCTTCTGGGGGCTCTCGAGAGGGCTTGGACTTTCGCGCAAACAGCTTCGCTGCGATTGCGACTCGGAAAGATCTTCGACGTCAACGTCGCCGTCGACGCCGCCGAGCTCTGCTGGCAGCAGCGCCGCGTCTTCAGGCTCTAAAAGAAGCTCGTCGTCCGCGTCGCCCTCCTCCACCTCCATCGCGGACAGCGTGCTCACAGGATTAGTATCATTGTCCCCTCGCATGTGCGTCATGTCCTCGGCGTTACGAGTGGTTTCGTCGGGGAAGGTCGATCGGTCGCTCATTTCTGACTGTGAGTGTGAAGTCACCAGTTCAAAATTGGTGGAAGGATGCCGCAAGTCAAATCGAGCTGATACTATGAGGATGATATGATACTGAATTCGGATAACTGAACCGTGATGAATCAAGTCGTAAAGCAAGTACCGTACAAATACCGAGTCGTAGGACTGATATGCGGCTGATTGCGAGTCCTAGAACTACACGAGAGGGCATTGTCCTTGATCCCACGTTCCTCTCTGCTGCCATGGTCTTTGGGACTCTAATAACCGCCACAGATGTGTGGGCCCATGTTCTCCGTTTGTCTGGAGCTCAAGTACGGGCTTGCCGCCCCATGGGAATGCTATGATTGGAATGGGGTTGAGAAACCCACTAGGAAAATGGCTTGTGTAAAATCTTTCAGCTAGGGATGAGGCCAGCTAGCGCAGCAGGGGGGATGGCAAACAGGGTCATGCCCACACACCTCAATTAGTAGCACTACTGGAAGAGGTGAAGGACCTGACGCTCCGGTCGGGGAACATTCAAGCAAGCAGCAAAGATCCTGTACACGTACGGTACAAGCATGGCAGATTTAGCGCAGATGAGCGACGTTACGGAAGTGTGCCCTGCCCTGCCCTGCCCGGCCGTGCCATATTTCATGGTAACGCCATACCGCCATCTCGTTACCCTACAGTGTTCTGTCCTGCCCTGCTCGTTACGTTACTGCTTGAGGAGGAGGGGGCACGTCTTTGGTTTGACGCCACAACTCGTACAAGTCGTTCCATTGCATTCCATGCCTCGCCTTGCACAAAATTCAAGTGAGCCAAAATTCTCGCCTTTTCAGGTTCTCCGAGCCGTGGCAGCATTTTTTAGGAACACGCGCTTTGCTCTGCTGACGCACATCCGGCGTTCTCCCAAGTTCCATTCCTACCCACCCTAGCTCATTTCATATCGATTTAGTTGGGTGAAGCAACACTGCAGGAAACTGTACTGGAAGCAAAGATTGTGTCAGTAAAATATGTAACAGTTTATGAGCACTTTCAGGGTGGTACGGCTGAGGATGCTGGAGTCGCTTGGAAAAAAAGAAAGCGCCCCCCAACAACACACCGTCCTTGGATGAGTACAGATCGAGCAGTCAAGCGAGTCCGCGTCAGCAGCAAGCAGATGGATAAGAAAATCTGAAAACTGGGAGGGAGTGGACGGAGCAGATGCCTTCCTACGTCTTGGGTAAGTGCCCCCGAAAGTGCACAGCTCTGTACAGTGCCGCACAACACGGCAGCAATCTGGACTTCGATTCGAACGGATGGGACGACGGCGTCAACACTAACTGTAGGTTTCTGCTCATGCAACATTTACTGTACACCGTGTGTTATCCTTGCAACATTATGAAAAACGGACAACCGCAAGCGATACAAACCGCCCTATGTGTTTTTGTTCCGCCACCACCACAACCTTTCGTGTCGTGATGAGGTGGCCTTCTGCAAATTTCCACATCACATCCGACACAACACCAGTGCTTTCGATTGGTCTGGGACGAAAATGTAGGCGCCTCAGCTGCCTGAAAAGTTGCCCTGAATCTCACGGGCAGCGGCCCAGACGAGCCCTGAACGAGCACGGACTTGTGTGGAACCCAACCCTTGAAATCAGGGAAGTGGCCTCTTGTACTTTCTCCGGTACAAGACTGTACAATGCCTTACAATGCACACAATATAGGGAACATATGCACATCGTAATATATATGACCCAAGCCATGCAACCCATACCACCCATACGGTACCACCCATACCACCCATGCCATTTCCATCGCTTTACGATTCGGGGTGTGCTTTGGCACTCCACAAGGAAGTGCACTTGCCTCCGCTTGGAGTAGTTCTGGAACAGCGCAATGGGCTCGAATGAAACAATAGATTGAGCCTATTGAGTGACTACCGTACAAGGAAACAAATATCTGGTTCTGCACACAACTTCCGAACCATTAAACCATGGTGGTTACAACAACTCTTTCATCCTGTCAATCAGGCATGCTCAAGCCCCCTCAACCCAACAGATTAGGCATGCCAAGCAGAGACTGGTTCAGACGGGCGTGTCCTGCACAGCTAGAGCAGACGGCGTTAAAATGTTTTGGTGCGAAGGCCAGCTCCTGTCCTGCCTACCCTATTCACGCATCATTTACTGATTCGTAACAACAATGGCGATACATTATGCACACATCAGGTTACGGTATGTGTACATTTCCGAACTACTCACACGCAAGTTAAACTGCTTCTTTCCCAGAGCAGGCAGGGTTTTGGTGTAGCTGCTTCATTTGCACATCAGGGTGGCAAAGGCCGGCACAGGTGGGCATGTCCCAAACGGCCACAGCAGTGGGCGTGCAATTATTTTGGCAGAGCGGCCAGCTCATCTCGTGCGATACATCGAATGCCAGCATCCACGCCCCCACAGTCACATCCTCGTTCAAGAACATCCTCAGCCTGTGATCGTGACAGTAACAAGAACATAGATGGGCTATTAAGGGTTGCAGTTCAAAACCGGAAAAAAAGAAAAGCCTGCCTGGCAGTGCTTGTACTGACTCCTATCGCCCACAGCTTCTCACTTGCAACTCCTACCTGTGCATGATATTGGTTGTCAACCAGACATATGGCTGACTTGCCTCAACCAATGACAGGGATGACTCACTTCTATTGAAAACATGCACGGCTGACCTGCCCTTGGGAACGGAGTTGAAAATATTGCCGATGTCGAAGGAGAGCAAGTATATGCGGCCGTAGGACATACTTGGTATACTTGCTCTCCTTCGACGGCTCACCTCGTTGCAGGACAAGCACAGCTCACCTGCCCTTGGGAATGGCGTTGAGAATATTGACCACATGGTAGGAGAGGGAGTAGATGGGGCTGTAGGCATGCAGGAAGCACCATGCACGGCTCACCTTGTTGCAAGACAAGCACAGCTCACCTGCCCTTGGGAATGGAGTTGAGAATGTTGACGACGTCGTAGGAGAGGGAGTAGATGGGGCCGTAGGCATGCAGGAAATACTCCGACCCCACCAGCCATGACTTGGGCTCAAACCTGCACAGAACAGTAAAAGATAAAATAAAAAAGAGCGAATAACAGGACCAGTACGAGATGAATCCAGGGGCGTGGATGAGTTGCATGGTTCTCAGGAATAGCTCAAGGGAGCAGCAGAGAGGTCGTCCCACTCAAGGGAACATCTCAAGAATGGCTCAGTCACTAAGTCCATCTTATGTTACAGGCTGAAAAAGGCGCCAAAATGCACGTCAAGGAGCACAAGTAGGTGTAATATGGCAACTCACCACTTCATTTTGGGGTTAGTGAACACAGCTCCCTTCTTCAAGCACCCAAGGTAGGTTCGAGGTGACTTCCTTGGCCTGGCGATGAGAGAAGAGAGCCGGTCTGCAGGGCCGCACAGAAGCAGGCAGAGGAGGGTGGGACTCGTGAGAGCAAGAGACACTCAATAATCTTCTGCAACAGTTGCTTAATGTGGCAAATAACATAATGATTCGCATCGTCATTTTCTCTCGAAAAAAGGATGTATGTATTAGAGAAGCTTCCGCGAGCACGCGCACGCACACACACACCAACATATGACATTTCTTACAATCCCGCTTCACAGGAGATATAAGACGGCCGAACCTGGTCTCAAGTAGATGTCATCGTCTGCCTTGACGTAGAATTCCGCTTCATAGAGCTTGAAGAGAGTCGTGAAGTACACGAGACTGGGGGATGGGGGATAGGTGAAGGGGAGGGGAAAGGAGCGAGGAGAGCTTTATACAATCTACGTATGTACACACAAACAGACACATATATATACATATACATAGAAAACTTCCAAAAAAAGGACACTATCAATACATTACATTCAACCAATGCAACAAAGTAGGTTAAGCGGAGAACTACAGCAAGAACGTGGGAGGTACGAGCGAAGGTGCGAAGATAGAAGCTTCCGATGTAGCAGCAGCACGTGAGGAAGAAGCGGAATAGCAGCGAGCACCTTACGTTGCAAGCAGCAAGCAAGCGAGCACCTTACGTCGCAAGCAGCAAGCAAGCGAGCACCTTACGTCGCAAGCAGCAAGCAAGCGAGCAAGCGAGCACCTCACGTCTTGTGGTTGAGATTGAGGTACGCCTCATCGACATCGATGCGAAGGAAATCCCCGTGAGTGCTGTTCTCACGGGGACCTCATAACAGCGAGCACCTCATGCTGTCATCAAGCGAGCACCTTACGTCTTGTGTTTGAGATTGAGGTACGCCTCGTCAACATCAATGCGAAGGAAATCCCCGTGAGTGCTGTTCTCACGGGGACCTCATAACAGCGAGCACCTCATGCTGTCATCATGTGAGCACCTCACGTTTTGTGGTTGAGATTCAGGTAAGCCTCATCCACGTCGATGCGAAGGAAGTCCCTGTGAGTGCTGTTCTCCGCCTGCAACAGCTGCTCGTCCACTGCGCTCCTGCCGTGCCCGATGATGAACCGGAACACCAGCCCCGTCGCTGCTTCCACCCTGAGGAACACGCATCAAAACAGATGGCGTGGGTGGCGGCGTGGCGCACGGGGAACGAGGGGCTGACCATATGATTTTAAGGCGCAGAGGGAACCAGGGTTCACCACTACCATCTGATCTCCAATACCGCATCTTCCATCTGCTTATCAGCACCACTGGTTTCATCCGAATCAGCTTCAAGGGTGAAGTCCTATCCCATGGCCTACTGCTTGTGGTCCCCGGTCGTGCCTGAGAACCACGGGGCTGGGAACCACGGGGCTGGGAAGCACATGTATGGGAACCATGTGGCTTGGATCCACGTGGCTGACAACCACGTGGCTGAGAACCACGTACCTGGAAACCACGTATCTGGAAACCACGTATCTGGAAACCACGTATCTGGAAACCACGTATCTGGAAACCACGTATCTGGAAATCACGTATCTGGGAATCACGTGGCTGGGAACCACGTGGCGCATGAAGCAGGAAGAGGTCAGTACCAAATCTACCGCTGCAAACAGCGGGTGGGTGGAGAATTATTCCTGCCAGCTCACCACTACCGAGTTTACCTCAGAGCATAGGCTGCCTTCTTCACTCAAGATGCCGTCCTATGCTACTCAGGGCGTACCGCGTGTGGCCCTCGGACGTCACCGGAAGCCACATGCTGCGACGATTACAGAAACAACCCAAAGCAGGCTGGGGTGAGTACGTACGTCTCACGACGACTGAGTACGTTTCTCGTCCTCGGACGTCTCTCATATATATGCGACATCTCAACCAGGCGGAGGTGAGCACTGAGTTATGCGACATCTCACCCAGGCGGAGGTGAGCACTGAGTTATGCGACATCTCAACCAGGCGGAGGTGAGCACTGAGTTATGCGACATCTCACCCAGGCGGAGGTGAGCACTGAGTTATGCGACATCTCAACCAGGCGGAGGTGAGCACTGAATTATGCGACATCTCACCCAGGCGGAGGTGAGCACTGAGTTATGCGACATCTCACCCAGGCGGAGGTGAGCACTGAGTTATGCGACATCTCACCCAGGCGGAGGTGAGCACTGAGTTATGCGACATCTCACCCAGGCGGAGGTGAGCACTGAGTTATGCGACATCTCAACCAGGCGGAGGTGAGCACTGAGTTATGCGACATCTCACCCAGGCGGAGGTGAGCACTGAGTTATGCGACATCTCACCCAGGCGGAGGTGAGCACTGAGTTATGCGACATCTCACCCAGGCGGAGGTGAGCACTGAGTTATGCGACATCTCACCCAGGCGGAGGTGAGCACTGAGTTATGCGACATCTCACCCAGGCGGAGGTGAGCACTGAGTTATGCGACATCTCACCCAGGCGGAGGTGAGCACTGAGTTATGCGACATCTCACCCAGGCGGAGGTGAGCACTGAGTTATGCGACATCTCACCCAGGCGGAGGTGAGCACTGAATTATGCGACATCTCACCCAGGCGGAGGTGAGCACTGAGTTATGCGACATCTCAACCAGGCGGAGGTGAGCACTGAGTTATGCGACATCTCACCCAGGCGGAGGTGAGCACTGAGTTATGCGACATCTCACCCAGGCGGAGGTGAGCACTGAGTTATGCGACATCTCACCCAGGCGGAGGTGAGCACTGAGTTATGCGACATCTCACCCAGGCGGAGGTGAGCACTGAGTTATGCGACATCTCACCCAGGCGGAGGTGAGCACTGAGTTATGCGACATCTCACCCAGGCGGAGGTGAGCACTGAGTTATGCGACACCTCACCCCAGGCAGCCGTGAGTTCTGAGTTATGGGATGTCTTCAAAACAGTTCTGAGTTACCCGTAACACCCGTATCAACCTTGTGCTCTAAGGGTGCTTTCGCCACTTATGGCCTACCGCGCGTGGTCCTCGGGCGTCGCGGGGAACCACGTCTCGCGAAGCAGCCCGCGTCTACTGCGGCTGCCGAAACCGGTCTGCACCCCGACGAACCCCAGCACGCGCTTCCTGCCCGGATACCGCAACCGATCTGCACTCCTCTCATCCACCCCTCGCGGATCCGCCAACGGTCCGATCGCGGCAGTCGCCTGAACGGGCTTTAACTCTGCTGATTTACTACTCGACCATGGGGGAGCGGAACAGCTGTATCTTAAAACGAGGATTTCTGAGAGGAAAAAGAGCGGGACGGCTAGGACTATGAAGAGGCAACGGCGATTGGTGTAGGCGAATCTGCTGTGGGGAGTGCAGCAGAGGGACCAGGAGACACGCCATGACGTCAGCACTCGTGGCGCGACGGACGTCTGACCTTTAGAGCCCATCAGCGGGTGATGTCAAACGAATCGGGTGAATTCAAGGGATTCGAGAGCTACCATGGCGTTTCAGTCGGCTCAAAAGTCAGGAGCTTCATCAGCTGGTGAAGTCGATCGAATCGAGAGCTGCCATGGCGGGATGTGTGGTTGAGGTGATCGTTTAGAAAGAACGAGCTAAGGGCGTGTAAAATTGAAGCAGCGGTTGGAACAGAGAAACTGGATTCCGATGATGCGATACAAGGTAGCTCGATGACCGACGGTGCAGATAATTGTAGAATAAGCTAAACACAATCAAAGCATATCATTCTAGTGCTTCCAGATAATTGTGCTTCCAGATACATGTAAATGCCAAATTCTAGTTGAACTAAACCCTCTGGTATGGTAATCAGGCGAAGAGCCCACACAAGCAGGCCGGTGGGAAATTCCTTTATACACACCTAGGTATGCATATGCCACACGGGAGGCGTTACGGTGATGTATTGGCGGGGGGTGTTGGAAAGGTAATGGTGCGAGACAGGCGACGCGTGTTACAATCGGGAGGCGAGGTCGTGGGACCGAGCCTAGACTTCCGAAAGTTGGAGTCGTACGCGGACAGTGTGACTCAGAAAGGGATTAGGAAATTTTCTTACAATTGTACTCACCTAGTGAGCATCTGTGAGAATAGCTCCTTGTCCCAGTCTTGAAAAGGGTCACAACATCGAAAGTCATGTGTTGCAGAAAGTCACATGCAGTGTACTTTTTTACTGTACGTTTCTACACTGAGTCGAATTGCCTTGGACAATGTAAATCTGGAAAGTGGGCTACGTGGAGTCCCCACGTGGCGCAGCGTCAACCTGCCACGTGGAAAAACCTAAGACCCATACAAGAAGTTTCGGTTCGGTTAGATGTGTTTTGAACACCTTCAATTACGGTTGTGAAGATTTCGTTTGATCCCGGTACGAGCTGAGCAGAACCCAACCGAATGGTAGCCTCGAGATTGCTTCAATTCAAGCCTACTTTTCTTCGTGCCATGGCTGTGCGTTTTCTATAAATTCCTTGGGTGTCAGTCCGATTACCTTGTTCTGGCCATCACTAGCAAATATTGCTCGCTGGTGACGTAAGATCGGCTCTTTTGTCGTGGTGCATTTCTTTCAAATAGCTCCTAGTTCGTACCAAGTCTGAGGCGGTTAGCGAACCACTCCGATAGTACCAGGTGCAATGGAGGTCCTGGCAGTCCCGCAAGTCCATGCACACCTCAATACGCTACCATCGAGAACCGCTTCTCAGCATTCTGCAGAAGCCAGAGGCCTAACCGTAAGCAGCAGCTGCAGCCTTGGACGGAACCCGCTGAGATTGACGGCAATTAGAAACGTGCACGCCGATAATCCGTTGACCCGCCGATCCCGCCGATCCCACCATTACCTTCAAAGTAATCGTCGTGTCGCTCTTCGCGTCAGCGCTGGCCAATCAGACACCGATCACACGGGCAATGAGAGCCATGACACGGCAGCTGGCGTCGCAGTACCAGCACGTCATGCTACCAAGGACGAGATGGTCAAATTCATCTCAGGCAATGCGGAGGTACGTCGGTTGAATAAGAATGCGGAGATCAAATAAAAAATCATAACATTGCGACTGATAGCAAAAATCTGGACGAAAGAGAAACTATGTTTGGCTCAAACTCCGTCCTTCCAAGCGCTTCCTTATCATTCTTTTCTGCAATCCTAACCACGCATGATTCCGCCAACCGCTTCAACCCTCTGGGGCTCATCGGCAGGTATCGGTGATGGTGGTGGCGGCTACTGATCTAGTCAAGGAGGCTCAGAGGCGACACGGCATGGCCCCCACTGTGAGTCGCGTTTCACACCACCATTTCTTTGCTTTCTGCAATCACATCACTCACCGCTAGTGTTGCTTCGTACCCCAGTGGTTGTTCCAGCAGTCACAAGAGCAATCTTTGAGGCGTTTAAAAGCTCGTCACTTTTCACACCACCAATTCCTTGCTTTCTGCAGTCAATCACCGCTTGTTGCTTCTCACCCCAGTGATTGTTCCAGCAGTCATAAGAGCAATATCAGCCTTCTAACCATCTTCGTTCCTTCATCCCCGCCTGTGTCACAGGCTGTAGCAGCACTGGGGCGGCTCCTCATGGGGACGCTGCTGCTGGGAGCGATGAAAGGGCCAGACGAATCCGTGCAAGTCACAGTGAACGGCCGGGGGCCTATTGGGCAGGTCACGGCTGTTTCAGCGCTGCATGGGGAGGTGAAAGGGTTCGCCGTTAACCCTCTGGCCGACCCACCTCTTAACTCCAAGGGCAAGGTAGGCAGCACAAGTTCTTGCAATGCCGTATACACATACATCTGCATACATCTCACGCCTCTCTGACCCAGATATGGTACCTTAAGAATTGTCCTGCCTTCCTTGGTCAATATCAGCCTGCGAAGCCCTACCACATGCACTTTATCTGTTTAAGTCTCAATCAGCTTCTCGGTCCCGGCCCTTCTCCTTTTCAATAGATTTCCCTGTTTCTCCACTGTTCTCTTCCCTGTGGTGGTCAGATGGACGTGGGAGGTGCAGTGGGCAAGGGAGTGCTCAGCGTCATTCGAACCCATCCCTCCTGTCTTCTCGGTCCCCATTCCATGCATCATCTAGTCTCCCTTGTTTCTCCACTGTCCTCTTCCCCGTGGTGGTCAGATGGACGTGGGAGGTGCAGTGGGCAGGGGAGTGCTTAGCGTCATTCGAACCCATCCCTCCTGGCAGTCACCTTACACGTGAGAACATGGTCTATAAAGAACATGGTGCTGGTTCATCACTTTCACCTTGATATGATGAGTCTCGGGACGGGATGAGCACTGGTGTTATGATATGAGGCTCAATATAAACGTATGAACCTTGGTATATGAAGGTATAAGCCTTGCTTGACCTGCCCACACGCTTTTGCACACCATGGACAGTGTAAGGTAAAAGTACCATTCATCTCTTTCCATCTCTCCACATTCCTCCACAAGCAGCAGCACCCTGTTATTGGAAACTGCAAAAGGCTTAGTAGGCTGTAAATCATAACATGAGTAGCCCAACGCTACTCACCTGCTGCCCCTGTATTCTTTCTGGAGTTTTGTTTCAATCAGCGCTGTGCCCTGTTGTCAAGGCATACCATCTGGCGGAGTGTGAGCGATCCAACCCAGCTTCTTCCCCAATCCGTCTTCCCATCCATCTTTTCACGCAATGCCACAAACAGCGGCACTCTGCTTCTGGTGTCAGGGGAGACCGCAGAGGACTTGGCAAACTACCTGGCGGAGAGTGAACGATCCAACCCATGATCCATCTTCTTCTCTCATCCCTCTTCCCATCCGTCTCTCCAAACAATGCCACAATCAGCGGCACTGTGCCTCTCGTGTCAGGGGAGATCGCAGAGGACCTGGCAAACTACCTGGCGGATAGTGAGCAATTCAACCCATCTTCTTCTCTCATCCCTCTTCCCATCGGTCTCGCTAAACAATGCTTCAACAGCGGCACTGTGCCTCTGGTGTCAGGGGAGACCGCAGAGGACTTGGCAAATTACCTGGCGGAGAGCGAACGATCCAACCCATGATCCATCTTCTTCTCTCATCCCTCTTCCCATCCATCTCTCCAAATAATGCTTCAATAGCGGCACTGTGCCTCTGGTGTCAGGGGAGATCGCAGAGGACTTGGCAAACTACCTGGCAGAGAGTGAGCAGATCAACTCGGCTATGGGGCTGGGAGTGGCGGTGGGCAAGGATGGCATTGTCAGGGCGGCAGGCGGGTTCCTCGTTCAAGTGAGTGGCTGACTCAACGCCTGATGAGCGTTTTGTCACCTGTGGCTTGTGCGCCAACTCATTAAGACCTTCTCGGGGAGGCAGGCGGTTTTGTTGTTCAAGCACTGCTGCCCACGTACCGTATTTTCTCTTCAGTCCCATGAATGAATTCCTTTCTTTTCTTTTCAACCGGCCTCTCTTTTCTCAGGGGTTAGATACACTTCATTCTCCAATTCCATCAGCTCTGCATGGCGTCTCATCCTTCTGTCTTGGTTGTTATCTTACACCTTGGCACCCTGTCTCCAGGTCCTTCCCTTCTGCTCGGACGAGACACTGGACAAGCTAGAGGCCAACGTCCAATCACTGGGCGCCATGTCAGACGCAGTGCAGCGCATGGATGCAGGGGGCATTGCCCACCATCTCTTGCAGGGGTTGGATCCCGAACCTGTCATAGATCCGGTATGTTCGACCCTTGTGCTTGGTCTGGTGTGATTCGGATTTATATTATGTCCGCAATACTGATTGGGCATGTCGCTGGTGTATTGGACGCAGTGCACCATATAGTTGTTCAGCCTGTTGTTATAACAGGCGATGGTTGGAAAACACACCCTATTTCGTCCCCTCTCCTCCCATGCCATCCCCTCGTACAGATTGTGCCTACGTTTGGCCCATGTGGTGTGGAAGACCTGAAGCCGCGCATGCTTAGAGCTGTGGAGTCACTAGGAGCCGAGGACGTGAAGAAACTTATTGAGGAAAGAGGTGAGTGGTTGGAATCCTCTGGTATGTCATGTTGAGTTGAAGTCTCAAGCTCCTCATGATTGGAGTACCGGCAATATTTGGCGATCAAGTGTGGGATTGCTTTGGCCACTTTAAGTGTTTCTTTGTATGGTGGTGCAGGGTCGGTGGAGGTCCGGTGCGAGTTCTGTGCAGAGAAGGTGGATTTTACGGAGGAAGATTTGCACGATCTTCTAGTGAAAGCAGGAAAGGAATGAATTCATGGAAACTCTTAGGGCTTGGTTCATGTACTTTGGGTTTGAATATTACTGCCTGTAAGAGTCGTGATCATGTCAATAGTGCATCACTTGAGCTTCGGACATTCTTGCTGCTGTATGGTTTTTTTTTTTTTTTTTTTTTGGAGGTGTAAATATATTATCAAATATAGATACATCCGCAGTCGTAACTGTATATCTTGGAGGGTCTAGGCCACGCCTTGTGGACGCCGCACCGCCCCCCTATGGCATGCTACGGAGGCTGATAGAAAGTGCGCGGGTTGCGCCAGATGGAGAGGAAAGGAGCCGCCCAAATTGTTGGCCCACCATCACCGCAAATCTTCTGAAGCTGCAACTTCTCATCCGCAGCCACATGGCTCCAGTTGTCTGTCTTCCAGAAACTTCTCCCTTCATCGGCCGCTGCCAGCCTTCCCCTTGCTGCCAGCACCACCCTCGCATGCGTCATGAAGTCCAGCACAGCACATCTCCCCACCTTCTTTCTCTCGAAAGGAGCTGCGCGCCAAACTGCATTGCATTGCGCCAACCAGATCTGCCTAAGCACCACTGATGTCAGCGTCATCTCCGGAAAACCTGACGCTGTGCCCTTTTCGCCAAACAGTAGGTCCCCCAGACAGTCCACCGACCTGCCCGGGTTCAGCATGTGCAACGTCCGCTTCAGCGCGCCAATGATCGGTTGTATGACCGGGCAGCTGTAGAGACAATGTGCTAGGGTTTCCTCCTCTCCACAGTGCACACATGCTATCATGTTCTGGAAGAAACCCAGCCTCCCCCCAACCTGCAGGTTCATGCTGTGAACCCTTAGTAGGACGTCCCTCGCCTTGCCCGGAACATTTATCGAGTCTCTGGTCTCAATGACCTTCCGCCAGTCAATCTTTTTTCCCCACACGTCCTCCCACTCCGCTTGTCTCCAAGAACGCCCTTTCGCCTTGGATAGTGCGGCCCTTACCCCGCGTAGCGGCACCAATTCTCCCCCAGCGAACAGTCCTGGTAGAGACAGCAACCGCACCTTTGGATCTCCCACGGGGCCAAGCAGTATTCCTTTCTGAACCGCCATCGGTTGGAGTCTGCACGCTTCGAAACACGTTCTCCGCTCTTGCTTTTTTCCCTATTCTCCCGTCTTCACCGAGGGACATGCTGGACGCGACCACCTTCCTGCCGTCCACCCCGTCCACTGCCCATGGGAGTCTAGCCGGTTGCCCTTGCAGGATGTACCTCACCACTCCCGATGCTTTCACCACAGCTTCGGCCGTTGCCGGCTCCTCGATCAATTTCCTCCACTCCGGCGGCATGGCCCCGTATGCCTTCCTTGCCATGACCGCCGCCTCCTTGCTTCCCAGTTCAATCGTCAGCACCTCTTCATCTTTCACCCCCCTCCGTCCCCCTGGCCCGTCCGTGAGCAGGTCCCGAACGCGCGTGGTGATGAGGACCGCTGTGCCTATTTGGTGACCGAAAGGGCTCTCCCCTCGATGCATGATGTTTCTGTTGAAACAAATAAACTCCTCTTCCACCTCCCACCTGCTCCTTGGTGCCGGCAGTGTCGCGAAAGGTGATTTCCAGAACACTTTTGCCGCCGCCTTCCATCGTTCGCTACCGCGCTGCCACTGCTTTATTGCCGACGGGTGCGCGTACAGCGTGGCCAGCCCTTGCGGGAAAGCCGCCGCCTTCTCTGCCAGCCAGCGGCGCGTTCCGTCCGGCTCCTTCAGAAACTTTCCGATCCTGCGGATCGCCAGCCCGTCCAGGCAAAGCTTCGGGTCCAGCTGCCCCAGACCTCCATCCTTCCGCGGCAGACACGCCAGGTACGCGCTCCACAGGATGAATATTTTTTATTCTGCCGCCTCCCCTGCCGATACGAACGCGTGACATAATTTCCTGATTTTTTCCCATGTCTCCTCCGGCGGCGAGTAGACTTGGGCCTGGAACATCAGTACTGGCAGGACATAGCAGCTAATCACTGCCACTCTTGCCGTGGTTGTTAGATATTGCGCTTCCCACTTCCTCAGCTCCTCTTTTATCCTTTCGTACACCCTCTTCCAGGATGGATCCGGGTCACCGTTGGGCGTTATCCACACCCCCAAGAGCCTCTCCGGCTCTCCCTGCTCCGACCATTTATACGAGACGTCTGCCGGCGCCGGCTCTCCCCGGTTGCTTCCCAGCGGTACCACCACTGACTTTTCACAATTCACCTTCAGCCCTGACTGTTTCCCGAAGGTGCCCAAGACCTCCACCACCTTCCGCAGTTGGGCTTCTCCATTCAGCAGAAATGATGTGTCGTCGGCGTATCCCACATATGCAAGCGGCTCCTTCCCGACCAGTCCGATGCCCAGCTTCTCCCGCTGCGTGGCTCTGCATAACGGCTCGAGTGCGCAAAGAAACAGGTATGGCGCCAGTGGGCACCCCTGCCTGACCCCTCTGTTCATCTCCACCCTGTCGCTTAACCACCCATTAATTATGACCCTTGTCCCTGCGTCTGCATGCAGGCCCCTGGTCCAGCCGATGAAATTGTCAGGCACCCCCAGCTCCTTCATGACCCTGAAAAGGAAGACCCTCGAGACCGTGTCATAGGCCTTCTGGAAATCTACCAGCAGCAGTAGCCAATCTTCCTTGCCGCTGTTCGCTGCCTCCACCGCGTCCGCTACCACTGATACTGCGTCCGCCAGGCTTTTTCCCGGTAAGAAGCCGTGCTGTTCTTTTGACAGGACTTTGCCCAGCACCTTTTTGAGCCTTGTAGCCATAACTTTTGTAACCACCTTGTACATGACTGACAGAAGTGTGATGGGGCGGTAGTTCCCCAGTTGATCTGTTGGCCCCTTCTTATGCAGCAGGACTGTCACCGCTGTCGATAAGCTCTCCGGCATACTCGCCTTCCTGGCGAATTCCCCGACAAAACTCATCACATGTGCTTTCAGCAGATCCCAGTGCAGAATGAAATATTCCGCGGGCAAGCCGTCCTGCCCGGGAGATTTCCTCTTCGGGAGGCTCTCCAGCGCCTGCTTGACCTCCTCCTCCGTCCAGTCTGCCCCAAGGAGCGCTGCATCCGTCTCCGAGAATCTGGCGCCTTCCGAGAAAGTCCCCCAGTCCACCTCTTCCTCTGGTAGCACCTCGCCAAAAGCAGCTTTGAAATGGTCCGCTGCCGCCTTCAGCACCTCCTTTGTCCCCTGGTACACCACTCCATGGTGAGAGATCTCGCGCACCACCGTCCGTCTCTTCCGTACTTTGATTCTGGCCGACAAGTATGGCGATGGGACTTCTCCGGTGAGCTCCACCTTGATTCCCGCTAACACTTGCATCCGATCTTTGCAGCTCTGGAGATAAGCCCCTAGGTGCGCCTCCTTCCGCATCAACCTGTTTTGTGCTCTCTTGTCTCCCGGATATCGCATCACTTTGTGCCTCAGTCGCTCCACCACTACCTCCAGGTGCTGCACCGTCGCCTTCACCCTCTTTCGCTCCTCCCGTGAGTATTCTCTCAGGCCCATGCTGAGCAGTTTCAGCTTCTTTCCCAGGTCCATCTCTTCCTCGTTCTCCAATTTCTTAAGGATGCTAGCTGTCACCGTCTTAAAGCCCGCGTCCCAAATTGCGGGCCGCGAGGGTCAAGTTTTTAAAACTTGACGAAGTTGAGTGTCCAAGCTTTTGAAAGTCACGCACTTGCAATTTGGGACTTTGGAAGACAGATTCACTCACCAGGGGGAAAACCGAGGGTTGGCTGGGTCTCGCGAAAAAAACGAACCTAGACGAAATCGGAAACTCTCGCCAAAGCCCACACCAGAAAAACTCCCTCTGGTCAACTTTTAAAAGCATGAACAATTTGGGCCGCCGGCTTTAACTCCTCTCCGTCGTGTCTGCTGTATGGTGGCGTTGGAGTCCCCAAGGTCGAAATCAGTCGAACGGTGCCGAACCTGTCTGTCACTGGCCGTTTGGCATTCCGAGGGCCAGCCACGGAGCTCGGTGGAGCGTGAGAGCTTGACTTGGCGGGGCGCAGGCGGGAAACTCGACACATGCTCCAATCGCCGCGCCAATTCACGCGGAGATCCCTGTGTTTCGACTTCGAGCCTCTCTCCACACCAAATTTCCAGCTTCGAGTCGTGGTTTGGGAGACACAGAAGCATCCTCACCAACCAGGCTTTCACCAACAGAAATAATTGTGGCGAACGGGGAGGACAGAGAACAAGACTGCAGGCGAGGAAACCCTGATTTTCTCTGTGTGATCCCAGGTTCTGTCTGTCAGTTGTTGAGTCTTTGCCTGAAGCACAGATTCACCAAATTCAGGCAGACGGCTTTCTGATCCCTCTAGCTGGTGGACTACTTGACGATCTATAGCTCGAATCCATTGGGCTTACTAGTTTCGTAACTCGTTCTCTGTTAGTCTTCGTGTTGGATATTTGTTAGGCTATTGGAATCAGCAACAATGGCGAATCAAGAGGAGGTTTGGGAGAGGGATCCCGTTTTCAAAAAGCTACGAGCAAAAGCCGAGAACAAGGTCCGAATGAGTTGTCTTAGGTTATGGCTTAGTTCCTTGTTATTTGGATCGTATCACCTTTTTTGCGTGATCGCACTGGTTCACGCTCTGCTGTGCTTTCTGCATTGTTGTGTAAATCTGCTTTATTGTCTCTCGATTTTTGTCAGATGTGCTTTGACTGTAATGCGAAGAACCCTACATGGGCTTCGGTCACTTACGGTGTCTTCATATGCCTGGACTGCTCAGCGATGCATCGCAGCCTCGGCGTGCACGTCAGCTTTGTCAGGTTCGTCTCCGCAAATTTGCCAGGATTCGTTTTCGTTCTTCTTGGCCTATCTGATCTCACACAGGATGCTTTATTGTTGCAAATAGTGGAATTTAAAAACTTGCTGCGAGTCTTGAATGTGATGCGAGCTGCTCTTGCTTTGAAGCCTTGTCCTTCCTAGTACGCAGCCACCAGTAAATTCGACGATCATCAAGACCTTGATGATGTCAATCCTTGTCGCTCATCAGGTCGACAACTCTTGAC